ATATATAGTTTTTTTTTTTTGACAAAACCAAATAGATTAGCCTTCCCAACAGATCACCATCCAGCCTCTGCTTAAAAGCTCCAAAGAAGGAGCCTCCACCACACTCCGGGGCAGAGAGTTCCACTGCTGAACGGCTCTCACAGTCAGGAAGTTCTTCCTCATGTTCAGATGGAATCTCCTCTCTTGTAGTTTGAAGCCATTGCTCCATTGCGTCCTAGTCTCCAGGGAAGCAGAAAACAAGCTTGCTCCCTCCTCCCTGTGGCTTCCTCTCACATATTTATACATGGCTATCATAGCTCCTCTCAGCCTTCTCTTCTTCAGGCTAAACATGCCCAGCTCCTTAAGCCGCTCCTCATAGGGCTTGTTCTCCAGACCCTTGATCATTTTAGTCGCCCTCCTCTGGACACATTCCAGCTTGTCAATATCTCTCTTGAATTGTGGTGCCCAGAATTGGACACAATATTCCAGATGTGGTCTAACCAAAGCAGAATAGAGGAGCATGACTTCCCTAGATCTAGACACTATGCTCCTATTGATGCAGGCCAAAATCCCATTGGCTTTTTTTGCCGCCACATCACATTGTTGGCTCATGTTTAACTTGTTGTCCACGAGGACTCCAAGATCTTTTTTCACACGTACTGCTCTCGAGCCAGGCGTCCCCATTCTGTATCTTTGCATTTCATTTTTTCTGCCAAAGTGGAGTATCTTGCATTTGTCATTGTTGAACTTCATTTTGTTAGTTTTGGCCCATCTCTCTAATCTGTCAAGATCGTTTTGAATTCTGCTCCTGTCCTCTGGACTATTGGCTATCCCTCCCAATTTGGTAACAATTATATTTTACATGTAATATTACTAATAATATTGCACTATAGTGGTAAAAATATTAAATTGCCACATATCAGCATTTTTCACTTTGCAAGTTATTGTGAGGTTGGATGCCATCTCATCTTGGAAGCTAAGCATGGTCAGCTCTAGTCAGCACTTGGATAGGAACCAGCAACAAATGCCAGGTGCTGTGCAGGATATTTCAAAGGAAAGAAGTGAACAAATCTTTTCTGGGTATATTCCTTGCCTAAAAAAATCCTCTGAAATGCATTGGGTCGCTACACAGAACAACTGTTTGAGTAAGGGTTCGTGGAGCATGTTAGAGACTAGCTGAGAGAAGGAAAGTCGCATAAGCTTTTGTAGACTAAGTCTACTTCCTCAGGTGTCAAACAGTGTATGAACCCATAGCCTTCTTAGTGCCTGATGAGCGATTCTTCATATCTTATAAAACTTGCATAAAAAGTAAAGGTTTCCCTGGAAATCAAGTCTAGTTGTGTCCGACTCTAGGGAGTGGTGCACATCTCCATTATTAAGCTGAAGAGCCAGCGTTTTCCATAGACGCCTCCAAGGTCATGTGGCCAGCATGACTGCATGGAGTGTCATTACCTTCCCGTAGAAGTGGTATCTATTGATCTACTCACATTTACATGTTTTTGAACTGATAGGTTGGCAGAACCTAGGCCTAACCTTGCTTGAATTTGAACCGCCAACTTTTCGGTCAGCAAGTTCAGCAGCTCAGCGGTTTAACCTGCTGCACTAGGAGCCCCTGGTGGCCCAGTGGGTTAAACCCCTGTGCCGGCAGGACTGAAGACCAACAGGTCGTAGGTTTGAATCCAGGGAGAGGCGGATGAGCTCCCTCTATCAGCTCCAGCTCCTCATGTGGGGGCATGAGAGAAGCCTCCCACAAGGATGATAAAACATCAAATCATCTGGGCGCCTCCTGGGCAACGTCCTTGCAGACGGCCAATTCTCTCACACCAGAAGCGAGTTGCAGTTTCTCAGGTCGCTCCTGACACGACAAAAAAAAACAAACTGCTGCACTACCAGGGTGCATACTGCTATCCATATCGGTGCAAGCAAATTACAACTTTGTGGAAGAACACTTAAAGGCCACCAATGATGCTATTACCACAAGTGGAGCCTTTCAAAAGGGGAAGATACTCTGAATTCATCCTGCAATTGACTATGCTGAGATAAAAGTCTGGTAAAAGGGAATGAATGGTTAAGGTGGAAATGGGCACCTGCTCCCGGAGCCACTGCTCCCGCTCAAAGCGCTCCTTCCTCCATTTGGCCTCCGTCTCATCCAGCTGCTCCTCGTTCTCATGGTCCTCCTCACCTTCTCTGTGGAACAGATCCATCTGGGAGGAGTCATCTAATGGACACAGAAAGACAGTCAGTTCTAGCTGCTCCGGTTTGAACACAAAAGCAAACCTGTAACTACAGGAAAACACTGTAGCAGGATGGAGAACACTTGGAACAGGGTACAAACCGCACCTCCAACGTAGAGTGGCGATAGGAGGAGGAGGCAAAAGGAGGTAAAATTCAGGAGATGTATTAAGGAATCGCAGTATAAATGGCAGAACACAGACTCAAGAAACTGCCTTTATAGTACATGTGTTAGGACTAAGATGTTGATGGAACAGAGGCTTACTGCATTAGGTCAAACCCATGGCCCTTGAGTATCATATGTAATGAAGATATTTATTACAACATTTATATGCCGCCCTTTTCACCTTGAAGGGGACTCAGAGCAGCTTACAAGGTATATATTATTATATTATATTATTAGCACAGTACAATATATGCATTAAACATTGCTATATTGCACCATACCACTATATCATAATATTATTAGTAATATTTCATGGGAAGTCTGACTTGGCCACGGTAGTCCATGCTCTGGTTACATCCCGTATAGACTACTGCAAGGCTCTCTACGTGGGGTTGTCTTTGAAGACAGTCCGGAAGCTTCAACTAGTCCAACAAACAGCAGCCAGGTTGTTAACAGGAGCGGCGCTCAGGGAGCATACAACCCCCTTGTTGCGCCAGCTCCACTGGCTGCCAGTTTGCCACTGGGCCCAATTCAAAGCCCTAAACAGTTCTGGCCCAACTTACCTGTCCAAATGTATCTCCCCCTACGAACCACTGAGGACTTTAAGATCATCTGGGAAGGCCCTGCTCTCGGTCCCGCCTTCGTCACAAGCACATTTGGCAGGGACGAGAGACAGGGCCTTCTCAGTGGTGGCCCCTCGGCTATGGAATGCCCTCCCTAGGGAAATTAGATCTGCTCCCTCCCTCTTGACGTTTCGGAGGCAAGTTAAAACGTGGCTATTCGAGCAAACGTTTACAAATACAGAGTAGCTAATATAGGAAATTGAATGACCTGACAATGGAATTGGACAATGCTTGAGAATAATGAGATGCTGATGATGTTGTTTTTATTGCTTTTGATGTCTTATACTGTTTAATGTTTTTTATCTATATTATGTTTTATGTATACTGATTTGTTGGAAACCACCTTGAGTCACCAATTGGCTGAGAAAGGCGGGATACAAATACAGTAAATAAATAAATAAATATAAATAGATAATTATAATATCATATTATTATTATATATTGCATAATTATAATATTATGAATATTATATGTATAAACAATATATTATATTATAAGAATAGCACAGCATTTCATCTGTGTAACATCTGTACCATTTTATCCCCAAATATCTCCCTGCAGATTTGCAGTGGGAAGGAAGGTGGAGAGCCCTAAGCTTAGAAAGGGGAGACGTGTTTGGGAGACGTCTAGACATCTTGTTTTGGTTTTCTACTTGTTTATAACTACAGTTAAAAAGGCCCCCATGGTGGCGCAGCGGGTTAAACTGCTGAGCTGCTGAACTTGCTGACCAAAAGGTTGGCAACCTAGCAGTTTGGAAACATGCAAATGTGAGTAGATCAATGGGTACCGCTTCTGGGGGAAGAGAACAGTGTTCCATGCAGTCATGCTAGCCACACAACCTTGGGGGTGTCTACAGACAAAGCCTGCTCTTTAGCTTAGAAATGGAAATGCGCACCACTCCCCAGAGTCAGACACAACTAGACTTAATGTCAGGGGAAACCTCTACCTTTACTATAACTACAGTTAGTTTTACAGGATTCCTGTAAAAGTAGAAAAGCAGCAGATTTATTTTTTCTGCTCCCCTCCTATTTATTTATGTTGTTAGACTGATACATGTGGCTAGATACTTTTTATTCAAAGTATCTAGCCACATGAGAAGCTCCTGAGTTCTACAGTGTATTCTTATCCTAAGCATGGAGAGAGGCAAGGAGTCTCCAGAGATATAGTCACCTAGCTAGATAGGTAAGCCCTTACTTTCCTGTATAGTATTGTTGTTCTTCCAGTAAAGTCTTACGTAACTTTGAAAGTTTGACTCTGCTTCTGAATTGCTGAAGCTATTTCGCTCTACTGCTAGCATAAGAAGTTATATGTGACTGACAGATTGCATTGATTTGTTGGCTCAATGGCTACCCACCAGGGATCTTCCCAGATGCCAATACTTTACCTATGTTCTTCCACCTGAACTTCCTCATCCTTCCAGGACCGTCGCTGTGCAGGTCCCCGTCGGCAAGGTACCGCTCCTGATACAAACGCAGCTGCCGTTTGTCATCGTCCAGCATCACCTTCCTAAAGAGAAGCCCGTGCAAGAAAGGGAGGCTCAGATTGGTTTGCATTTCAAAGAGAAATTGTACTCCCACTTTAAGTTCCACATGTGGATGACCCTCCACCCCTGATACTGACATGTGTATCTTGTTGACTTGATCCTGCAGTTCCACATCTGTGGGGAGGGCCTCATCAAGGACATCTTCTTCATATTCGTCGAGGTCTTCACCGTCATATTCATCCTCGCTTCCCACTTCGCTCCCTGATAACTCAGCCTCGTTTTCCATAAAGTCCTGCAATATGCTGAATGGTTCAAGGGGGAGATGGAAAGAGGAAAACAAGGTGAGTTCTAAAGGAGTTTTAAAAATATTTCTGGCCATAACAGACCAGGGTCCCATCTTGCTCCAAAGTCCCAGCTCTAAACTGCCAAAGAGCTTAAAATTCAGGTCTAGAGTAAGGTATTTTTCTGTGCTACAAAAGATTTCAGGTGCAAGGATTTGTTGGGCAAGTGGGCGTATTAACAAAAGACTCTCCCCATAAATGTACAGCAGATTATTAGCGGCAGCGTGACACAGCACCAGTAGCCCAAAGTGATAAAAAGAACAAAACCACACAAACCAATGTTATCTCTTCCATGGGAGGTTTTTCCTTGTAGTAATATAATATGGTGTAGTAAAATTATTATAGTAAAATAATATGTTGGCACCGTCCGCCACCACGTAAATATTTATTTAAAATAATATTAATATTTATTTAAAATCCACAAAACAGCAAGTCCGCAAAAAGCAAACTGAGAAGTAGTGAGGGAACACTGTACTATTTACAAGAGCAAGGTTTCTATAACACAAATAAAGTTACTTATACTTCCTTCATTGCTTCCACGCTGGGCTTCTTTCTTATATGATTCTGGCCCAGCATATCTGTCCGAACGCATCTCCCTTTACGTCCCATCTCGGAGTTTGAGATCCTCTGGGGAGGCCCTGCTCTCGACCCCGCCTCTGTCACAAGTGAGATTGGCGGGGACGAGGAGCAGGGCCTTCTCAGTGGTGGCCCCTCACCTATGGAATTCACTCCCCGGGGAGATCAGATCAGCAACATCCCTCCTTTCATTCAGAAAGAAATTAAAGACGTGGATGTGGGACCAGGCGTTTGGGCAATCTGGCAGATGAATAAGGGACTGTGACGATAGATAGGAACTGGACAAGGTGGAATGAAATATAAATTCTGAGTTGGTGAATGCTGTGTCTGAGATTGGCTATTGATTGTGTGATATATTGTTGTTTTTAATTGTTTTAATTGTTGACCATTTAATTGCTGGTTTTATATGTTATTGTATTTGTGTAGGCACCAAGATGTGCCTTTTGTAAGCCGCCCTGAGTCCCCCCTCGGGGGTTGAGAAGGGCGGGGTATAAGTACACGAAATAAATAAATAAATAAATCATAACAGCTTCTAGCTTCGTTCTCACAGTGCCTCATCTCACAACGAGCTTATACTGGAGCTTCACAAAGTAGCTATTTACACACAGCAGCCTTTATACTGGAGCTTTACAAATGAGGCATTAAACCTGGAGCTTCTCTCACTGAAGTTTCTCACACCAGGTCTACTCACATTTGGCCTTCTCATAGACTAAATCCTATCTCACACTGTGAGGCTTACCTCACACAGAGGCTTCTCTCACAGACTAAGGCCTACCTCACACTGTGAGGCCTTCTCACAGACTGAGACCTTTCTCCCACTGAGGTTTACCTCAGACTGACAGCGACTAAGCTACAGACAAACCTGCTTAAATAGAACTGTAGCTTTTGCTGAGTCATTGCATCCATTTAACCCTTTTAGTGCTTAACTTGCATTTTCGTAATTAAAAATACCTAGTTAATTTTTAATATTTCTGACAGGATTCAAGGTAAGTTAGTAAACTGTGCAATCCTAAATGAGAATTTCCAGCCTTGCATTTGAGACCAGAATGGTTGTGAAGCTTACAGAAACATCTACTAGCCTGTTAGCCATTTATTGCTAAGGGAACTTTCTGAAACTTGAGCTTCTATGTTCCATTTATGATCAGCCATAGTCCTGCTCACGCTCCCACCACTATCGCAAGCACGATTGGTGGGGACGAGGGAGAGAGCCTTCTCGGTGGTGGCTCCTCGACTCTGGAACTCACTCCCCAAGGACATTAGGCAAGCCCCAACTCTGGCAGTCTTTAGGAGGAGCCTAAAAACGTGGCCTTCACAGAATAAGGAAACTCCCAGCAATATGTCCCTAAACTCTTTATTAGTGATTTAAGATTGTCTGCACACTCATCCCTCTTCAAAAACTTCTATCTCAGTTCCATGTCACCTTGTCATGCCCAGCATTATTTTTTTAAAAAAAATAATTATTACATTTGACCCAGCCATAGGTTTTTAAACGCGTTGTGTTACTGTTAATGTTTATTGCTTATTTTTGCTTATGAGTTATTTATTTTGTATTATTGTTGTTATTGTTTATTGTTGTATTGTGGGCTCGGCCTCATGTAAGCCGCACCGAGTCCCTTGGGGAGATGGTAGCGGGGTACAAATAAAGTTTTTATTATTATTATTATTAGCTAGATAGTATGTCAGATAATACTAGACTAAAACTCCCAGCATGTCTCATTGTTGTCTATGATACCTAGAGCTGTGTAGAGTCATGGTCCAGCAATATTTGGTGGGCCATCTCAATCCTATATTAGTTTTTCAAAGAGCTTTATCTGGACCAATATGTTGCACTCCAGAGCAGGATCCCCTCTGACTTTAAATATCATACAGATAGGTTAAAATAGCAAGCAGTTTAGTGAGGGTAATATAAACCAAACCAATAAAAAGTAATCCACAGTAAAAGGTAATCCAATGGAGTAGAAAGAAACAGGAACAATTAATCCAAAGAGAAATAGTCCAAAAACAAGTCCATGGAACTAGATACTTGATTTCAAAGGCAAATAACAGCAAAGGCTGTTATCCATGAATCAAACTAAGACAAGAGTCCAAGAACTTGGCATGAAGAACTTAACATGGATCCAATGTTGCTTCGTCTGAAGCTAGATTCCGTATATCCCTGCCCTATTTCCCAAACTGCTAGGAAAGGATTTTTTCTCAATTTTGGTTTCACTTCTAACTTCTGCTGTAATCTGTCTGAGTGCCGTAATTGCTGACCTGTTTGTCTTTGCTGGCTAAAAACACTTCTCCTGTTCAAGGCTTCACTGCTATGAAGAGAGCTTCATTAAAATCTCCACCTGGAGATAACTGACGGGGAAAATGCGGCACAGAGCCTTTCCCAAGCTCAAGACCTTGAGAATCCTCTTGCAGCAATACGGGCCTCTATAACCCATTATCTAAACTGCATTCAGGCCCCACATCTCCAAAACCAGGCCCAGGAAACAGATCATCATCCCCATTCCCTTCAGGAACATCTTAATGGACAGCATCCCCATCTCCATCAGGGAAACCAGCTTGAACATGAACATCGTTGTCATTCCCATGATCCAAAGCAACATGATCATCAGACACTATCACAGGCTGACATACAATACAATCATTATGAAGCTCTACTAGGAGAAGCAATCCCAAATTCCCAGAGCGTAGTTTGTTAATCTTTCTCAGGCAAGATGCTGGAAGTGTCTACCATTTACATCATTCAAATGTATAGTTTTATGCTGGTCTCCTTCAGCTTCAGCTTCTGCATTTCTTTAAAATGTATCAAAACTAGAAAGATTTACTTACAATTTCTTCTTTAGTCCTTCTCTTCGTCTCAACACTTCCTCTTCGTCATCAACTTCTGATTCATCTTCACATTCTTCTTCTTCTTCTTCCTCCTCCTCCTCCTCCTCACTCCCTTCCTCCTCCTCTTCTTCCCCCCATTTGCTCTTCTCATCCTGACAATCCAGAAAATATTGCATTCAGAAGTTCAAATAATATACCGGGACATCTGCCATTTCAACATCATGGAGGAGGCAACAGATTTTGAGAGCTAAGCAAGGTCAGATTTGGTTAATATTTGGATAGGAGGCCACTAACAAATCCCAGAGGCAGTAGGTCAGCCTTCAGAGGAAGAAACTGATAAAACCACATCTGATTCTTCCTTGAGCAAGAAAACCTTATAAAATGGAGTTGCTATAAGTCAATAAGGGAACTTGAAGGCATATATACATACTATTTCAATTACTCTTTTATTTAAAGAACATCATTAATAGGATTGCAATGTTTGAAAGCACCTACAGAATCAGGTACTGAGCACAGAACTGAGTGTGAATGGGACCAGAGGAGGAAATCTTAAGCTTGTGAAAATAATCATGAAAGAGCACAGATGTAATCTGCTGAAATCTTAATGTTTTGAGTGTTTAGGGGCAGGAACTTAGATATTTTCAGAACTAGCAAAGGTAACACTATTAAAAATAAGAGAACAGCTTGCACTCTGCCACTAAAACTGGAATCAATTTTTGTGTGAACGGACTTTTTTATTTATTATTTACCCTATTTACACCCTGCCTTTCTCAACACCATAGGGGACTCAAGGCAGCTTACACAGCATCATAGAGTTGGAAGAGACCTCATGGGCCATCCAGTCCAACCCCTTGCCAAGAAACGGGAAAATTACATTCAAATAATAATAATAATAATAATAATAATAATAATAATAATAATAATAATAATCTTTATTTATACCTTGCCACCATCTACCCAACAGGAACTCGGGGTGGCTTACATGAGGCCAAGCCCAATCAACAAATTATAGCAAAATAAAACCAAAAATACATGCAACAAACAACAACATCGTAATTACATAAAATATATGGATACATTAACAATATAAGATTACAATAAACACAGTCACAGTGACAATGGGCGGCTACATGTGCGAGAAAATGATTAAAAAACTGATTAAAAACACCAGTGAGATAAAATTGTTTTCCCGACAATTTTACATTGCCCTATCTCCCAGTGTTTTAATTTTTATCTTTGAATTTGGCCCTGCCCAGTGAAATCTTTTATGTTTTAATGTTTGATTGTATATTGTTGTGTCGCTTATTATATTGGTTTTGCATTTTATGTATTGTATTTTATTTTCTGGTTTTCTTATGCTTTTGTGTTATATTGTACTGATGGACAAGGCCTCATGTAAGCCGCCCCGAGTCCCCTTGGGGGAGATGGAGGTGGGGTATAAATAAAGTTTTATTATTATTATTTATTATAAAAGGAGAAGCAGGTTATTTGTGGAGGGGGGCTCATTAAAACAAGGATTGTGAAATCGAGCTTTCCCACGGGGGGGAGGGGGACATATACTCCAATGACAAAAACGTTGAGGCTGAGCAATAGTATGAGGTTGTATACCTACTCACCAAAGGCGCAGTGGAAGAGCCAGGTTTTAAGGTTCTTTTTAAAGGTTTCTAGGGTAGGGTTTTCCTAATCTCTCCAGGTAATGAGTTCCAGAGTCAGGGGGCCATAGAGGAGAAAACTCTCTCCCTTGTGACTCACCAGGCAAGCTTGTGAAACTGGCAGGGGCGAAAGAAGGGCCTCCCCAGAAGATCGGAGGGCCCGGGCTGGTTCATGGAGGGAGATACGGTCACAAAGGTAGGTGGGTCCCAAACCATTTAGGGCTTTATAGATGATAACCTGCACCTTGAATTGGGACCGGAAAATAAACGGCAGCCAGTGGAGCTCCTTAAACAGGGGAGTAGACTGCTCCCTGTAACTAGCCCCAGTTATTAATCTGACTGCCAAACGTTGGACAAGTTGTTGTTTCCGGGCCGTCTTCAAGGGTAGCCCCACGTAGAGTGCATTATTTATTTACTTATTTAAAACTTTTATATCCCAATCTTCTCTACCTCCGTAGAGGGACTCAGACCGGCTAACAGCAAGAATTCAATGCTAAACAGTAAAAAATCTAAAACAACATATAACAACAGTAAATTAACAATACATATAAAATAAATACACAAAAGCTTTTCACCAAGATAAAAACATGTCCAACTCAGTCCATATATTCAGTCCATGTATTGTGGTCAATACTTTGGTCGATTACACTGTTCTACAAATTTTCAGTTTTTCTCAGTTACGGAAACGAAATGTGCCATTTCTTAATAAATTTAACATGCTGAATTCAAATATAATAATTAAATGTGTTAATTGGCTCTGGTTTTTATGCAACAGCTATTTCAATTTTCTCCACAATAGGTAATTCGTTAATATTATGATAATGCGCCTAACCTTACTGCATGTATATAAACCGTGAATATTTACTAAATTTTAGTCAAATTATATTGCCAATAGTTTATACATGAGAAATATTTATTTAATTAGTCTATTGTTTATGTTTGTGCAGCAAGAAACTATATTAGTAGGCCTAATGCAGTTGAAAAGTCTGAAAGTTTAAATGTCGCTTTAATCGTGACTTTAGTTTTATCCTGTTTGCTTCTCTTGACTTTTCTTTTGTATTCAAGGAAAGGATTGTCTCTTACAATGCTCCAGCAGTAGTCTGACAGCATTGACGGAGTCCATTTGCCTTGATATCTTTTTTCCATAGTGCTTTATTTACACACGTGCGAGGCATAACTACAGTAAAAAGAACAATGTAAAACGATGTTTAACGATACTGTCTCAGTCTTCAACTGACTGACCCTCACCGTTCAAAAGTCTGGCCTTATATAGGGCTTTCTGGCTTTTGCACACAGCACTAATACTGCGTCATCAAACTTTCTAGAATATTCTAGAACAGTGGTTCTCAACCTTCCTAATGCCGCGACCCCCAGAAATCCTAAGAGCTGGTAAACTGGCTGGGATTTCTGGGAGTTGTAGGCCAAAACATCTGGGGACCCCAGGTTGAGAACCACTGTTCTAGAGTATTCTAGAATCTTCCATAGAGTAAGTCGCAACATGCATTTTTTCAACCATACGTGATCACGTGATTGCTTATATCATAAAAACTAGAGCCAATATACATTTTTAAATGTCATTTTTGTTTTCAGCACCCCAAAATCATAAAAGAACAACTATTTTCAGGCCCGAAACTTTTTCTCCGTTGAACAGTGTTATCGGTCTCACCCCTCATTCTGCAAAGGCCTCGTTCCACAGCCAGGTTTTCACTAGCTTCCTAAAGATCAGGAGGGAGGGGGCAGATCTAATTTTCTTCGGGAGGGAATTCCATAGCCCTCCCGCATTGCAGTAGTCCAGTCTAGAGGTAACTAAGGCATGGACCACTGTGGTCAAGTCAGACTTCACAAAGTAAGTTCGCAGTTGGCGCGCGAGTTTTAATTGTGCAAAGGCCCTCCTGGCCACTGCCAACACCTGCGCATCAAGCATCAGCGTTGAGTCCAGGAGGACCCCCAAACTGGGGACCTGTGAAAGCATCCCTGACAGATGGCCATCTAGCCTCTGTTTCAAAGTCTCCAAAGAAGGAGCCCCCACCACACTCCGGGGCAGAGAGTTCCACTGCTGAACAGCTCTCACAGTCAGGAAGTTCTTCCTAATGTTCAGATAATATTAGCACATATATGACAACAATTCAATGCAGGGTTAACGTACATTCATAAAAACAAATAAACAATTATGTTAAAATACACATAAAAACATATCAAAACCTTAAAAACACTTATTAAAACCACAATAACCAACGTGTTTGATACAACCAACTTGTAAAGCTTCCCTTTAATAAAGGAGGGTTACATTACTCACTTCTTCACTGTCAAAAGCAGTTACAAGCTGGAAGTCTTTAAATTCATCCTCTTCTTCCTCTTCCACTTCCCTGCAAATAAATGAGTAGGAGGTTAAAAGAGGGGAAAGGATGCTTTTGGACATCTGGAATGTAACAGCGGTCAAATATTCCAGTTGAAGCTTCTATTTAACCTGCGTCATCTATTGAAACATGACAGAAAAGGGTAAGAATGCAAAAATACAATGAAAGGGAGTCTCCTTTTCATGGAAAGTATCCAAGATGCCACAGCATTCAAACAAAGAATGGATAATCTTGAGGGAAGAGGAATGAATTACTTCTTCATCGTGTATGTGAAATCGCACATATGGTATTGCCTGCGCAGTCAGTTTCGGACAAAAGGAACTGACCGTGTAGGCACAGCAAATATCATACATGCAAATTTCACAGAATACCACTCAAAGCAACACGATTACTGGTAAGCAACCAGTACATATAAACTGTCAGGGGATGTGAAATGCTGCCCATCTCCGGCCTCCAAATCCTCACCTCTCTGTTGAAAATGACCCAGAGCAAAGGGCTACAGCCTCAGCCATGGGGTCCTCGGTGCGGCCCTCTTTTTCCAGGGGTGAAGGCCTGGAAGAGGCTCGAACGGGAGAATCTGGGAAAGCAATCAGAATTGAGAGGTTAGGCAAGGGGGCCGGAAGGGCCACGAACGGCCTGTAATTTGCCCCAGATTAAAAATGAGGGGACCGACAAATACATATTACTTAACTATGGTGGAAAGGTCTCAGAAGAAGCTTTTAAGCAACAACAACATCCTCCATTTAGATGCCTCCTCCATGCTCAACCTTAATTTTTGTTCTTTTCTCTAGATACTAGGATTTTAGAAGCCATATGAAGATTTATTATGGTATTTAAATATCACTGGTCTTCTTGTAGACTACTTAATGGTGTGAGCTAAAAAGTATATTTCAGGTATGGGCAAATTTGGGCCATTTAGATGGTTTGGACTTCAACTCCCACAATTCCTAACAGCCCACAATGCTCACTGATGTGTGTTTTATATGCAAATTGCAACCCCACTCTAGCAACCTAAACTGAATGTGGATATTCCATATCAAAGAAAAGTGCCCAAAACCCCCCAACGTTGAACCACTTCTTTTGGGCAACTTATGCATCTGGGACTTTGTTCATTATGTTGCCAACTGTCTTGGACACTGGATAAACCAGGAATGGTCAAAGTTGGCAGGCCTTGGGGCAATTTTCCAACCCCAGAACCAGGCACAGGGCTCCCCAGCCACAAAAATGAAACAATTACCCCACAAAATCAAAATGGAAGTGGCCAGAAGTCTACTTCAGATTTTAGAGTTCCAAGAAGGGACAGCTGAGTCATAAAACATCCTTGGTAGCTGCATATAGTCCTCACTTTAACCACCTATAATATACGTTATATACTCGAGTGTAAGCCGAGTTTTTCAGCCCTTTTTAAGGCTGGAAAAGCACCCCTCGGCTAATACTCGAATCAAAGTTATTTATTATTTTACTCTATTTATTATTATATTTATTATTTTACTCTATTATTGTAATTATTACATTGATTATTTTACTCTATTATTTTTATTACATTTATTATTTTACTTTACTATTACTGTTATTATTACATTTTCATTCTTTTACTCTATTATTATTACATTTATAATTTTACTCTCTATTATTATTGGAAGGACACGTAAGCACATTTACATTGAAGGTTAGAATAAGGGTTAAATCAGAGTTGGACAGTCTTATCTTAAATTACAGTTTTATGCAAATATTCAAAAATATTTAACCTACAGATGCCTCAATTAATATAAATTTACTGGTATCTATTTTTATTTTGAAATTTACCAGTAGCTGCTGCATTTCCCACTCGGTTTATACTCAAGTCAATACATTTTCCTAGTTTTTTTGTGGTAAAATTAAGTGCCTCAGCTTATATTCAGGTCGGCTTATACTTGAGTATATACGGAAATGAAAAAAAATATGTAACATGACATTAATCAATAGTAGCCATTATATAATCCAGAATTATACACACAATTGCCTATGCCCCACACTTTAACCACCCATAACATAGATTAAAAGAATAGGTAAAATGACATTAATAAATATTAGCCTCTAAATAATCCAGGACTAGGCAAAGTGTAACCTATGCTCCTCATTGGCTATTATTATTCTTTGTTTGAATTTTATATTCTGTGGGCTGAACCTATGGAACATCAAGGCTTCCCTGTACTGAGGACTGGCACTCTGAACTCACCTTGAGTTGCAAATTTCCCAGAGCAAAGGTTAAGCAGTTCCTCCATGTTTGGCTTCTTGCTGCTGTAAGTGCTTTGGGGCTTGTCCTGGGATCCAAACTGTCCAGAGCAGAGATCCAGTAGTTCATCCATATTGGTGTCCATTGCATTCTCGTCCATGCTGGCCAAAGGAAGAGGGTTCTTGGGCAACTGGTATTTGTTCTGTTGATGGCCGACATTCAAAAACCTGACAGCAAAATCCGTATGGGGTTTTTATAAGATGGCACTGATATCAAAGAAGTCTCAAATGGCTTAGTGGCGTAAGATGGAAATCTCTGGAATGCATTTGTTTGATGACAGTCCTCAGATACAGGACAAATGCCCCACCAATCCTCTTTCAGAAAATACTTCTGTATTCTCAGATCTGGCATTAACTGGAAGTTGATAGCAGCATTTTCCCTAATATTTTGCAAAAGTGAATCGCTAGCTTCCCTTTTTGATAGCAAGAAGCCAATCACAGAGCAGCAGGTGCATTTTATTGCTCTCTTTATGTATTCTACAGAGTTAAAGGTGCATACAAGACAATTCTATTATTATTATTATTAATAATAATAATAATAATAATAATAATAATAATAATAATTTATTTTGAATATTTGTACCCCGCCCTTCTCTATCCCTGAAAGGGGACTCAGGGCAGCTTACAGCCGGCAACGATTAGATGCCTCCCATATACACACAAATAAAACAGCAATTACAAAATAGATAAACCATTAATATAAATTAAAACCATTTAAAATAGTGCAAAATCAATTAGTTGGCCAAATCTAAATCTGAATTCTACAATCGACAACTTGGTCCAAAGCCTGTCCATACTACATTTACCATAGCAATGTCATCATTTATCTACCTACTATCCAAATGTACATTCTAGGCACATTTACTCAGTATAAGTCCCCATTTGTGTTTAGTGCAATATTGTGTGTGTGTGTGTGTGTGCGCGTTCTGTACCAAGTTATGGCAATTCTAAAATGGACCTATCATATTCAGCTTGATTGGCAAGATTTGTTCAGAGTGGGTTTGTCCTTGCCTTCCTAACTCTAACCCTAAACCTTGCCTTCCTCTGAGCCTGACTGTCCCAAAATGGGTTTCACTGATGTTTACAAGGCAGAGGTTTGAACCCTTGTCTCCAGAGACTAACTCCCAAACCACTAATGCAACAGTAGACTTAGTCTACAAAAGCTTATACTACAACTTCTTTCCTTCACTGGGTTGCTGTGAGTTTTCCGGACTGTCTGGGCATGTTCTGGAAGCATTCTCTCCTGACACCTGTGGCAGGCATCCTCAGAGGTTGTGAGGTCTGTTGGAAACTAGGACAAGTGACCTTTATATATCTGTGAAATGTCTGCTTAAGGCAAGTGTAATGTTGTAACTGGCCACCTTGATTAGCATTTAATGGCCTTGCAACTTCAAAGCTTGGCTGAGTGCTGCCTGGGGAGACCTTTGTTGGGAGGTGTTAGCTGGCCCTGATTGATTCTTGCCTTTGCTTCAGTTAGTCTCAAAGGTACTGCAAGATCTCTACGTATCCTGGGACACTCATGATTGCCACTGTTGGAGCTCAGCCTGTGATTGTGTTTCAGGATCAGGGTGCTTTGGATGTGTGGAGTGATGTCAATGAGTTTCAAGATGGCAATGGTTTGGTCAATGATATTGCTGCAGAGAATGACCAGGAGATCCCTGTTCAAAGTGTAGTTTCCCATGAGAATGTCCCTGAGGGGTGTGGGGATGATGATGTGATCTCTGAGTTGTTACCCGAGAGTTCTTATGATAGGGAACATGAAAACAGCTTGGCACCTGGCCCAGATGCAGAAATTAATGAGCAAATAGATAGACGCAAGGAGATCAGTCAAAACGGGAGAGCTAAACGGTGGCTTCGGCGTTCTGCCAGGTTCCGAGAGAAAAAGATAAGACAGTCTCCGTTAAAACAAAATCAATTTCTGAGCGCTAGAGACATAGCTAACAAGGAGATAAAAGTCCCAAGTACAGGATATGTAGTCAGATGAAGCATCGTTTGAAATCAAGTCAAGATCTCCTTGTTTCATGGAAGCTTTGCTTGGAAAATTCATGTTTTAAGCGCCTTTGTTTCATGGTTTTGATTCTTGGAATGTATGCTTTTATATTCATACCTTGGATTCATGTTTCCTGATTTCTTGCATTTTGTTTGGGAAGTTTTGTCTTTGTTTTTATGGACTTTGCTGGACTATTACCCTGGACTAATTTGTTCCTGCTTATCTTCCTACCTAATTGGATTTACCTATTTCTTTAAAGTGCTTTTTACTTTCCTGCTTTTTAATTATCTTCAGTAAAAGGATTGTTTCACTATCCAGCGGTGTGGTGTTTAAAGTCAGAGGGCTTTTCCTGTCCTGGAGTGCAACAGCCACCTTAATTATCTTTTGAAACTGCTACCTAAGAAAGCCAGTTTTTCCCCATCGACTTACCCATCCGCATCGAGCAGCTGGCTCTGAGTGTCATCTTCTAGGGAGAACTGGAACTGGAACCTCCCAGCTGCTGGAACTGGGCTTTTCTCTTCCGGTGTACCGTTGTAGAGATCCTGCGAGTCCTCTATTGGGAGGGAGGGCTCAGATGCCTTCCCTGAACTCTACAGAGATATCCCAAAAAGGAGACAGTTAGTTCCTCAAAAAAGGCTTACCAGAAACCAGAATTTAGATTAGGAGGAAGAGAAGAGCAGAGCAGAGCAGAACAGAACATTATAGAACCATAGAGTTGGAAGAGACTACAAGGGCCATCCAGTTCAATCCCCTTCTGCTACACAGGAATAATAATAATATAATAACTTTATTTTTATTCCCCGCCTCCATCTCCCTGAAGGGACTTGAGGCCGTTTACATGGGGACCAGGCCCAAACAACATAATTAAAAATATAACACATTAAAATACACAAACAACAGTATAGAACAAAATAAAAATAACATTATAACACCTATAAAAGCAACCATAAAACCAACAACCAATGAAACTGCAATAATGATCAGTTTCTAGGGAATACACAATCCGAGCCCTCTCAACAGATGACCATTCAGCCTCTGTGTCAGGATCAGGTTTCTGATGTTCGGGAAAACACAATAAATCCTCCATGGATAGTTCGAGTTCAGAAGGAGGCACCGGTGGCAGAGACAACACCTGGATCGCTGGAAATATTTCTCATGGGAAAAATTTGGTAATGGGTTTGGGGGAGGGCTGAGAAGAGTGTTTGGGCTGAGTTGCCATGGACCTGAGGGAGTGTTAGGGAAAACTACCCAAAATAATAAAGCAAAGCATTAAAAAATCAGGATAAAAAAGTTGAGCATCAGCTTATTAGCGAGCAGAGTGTGAAGTGCCGTGTGATGTGGCTGTAAAGAATTCAGGGCTTAGGAGGCAAACATGGAGAGTACAATCTTAAAAATCACAAAAGGTTTATTTACAATAATAAGAAATAACGGCATTTCTTAATAATCAAGAACTGGGTCTGAGCTACTCTAACACCCATCTCCTCTAAAGTTTCAAAGAGAGGGAAAAACTCCAATCACTCCATCTCTCCAAACACACAAACAGAGAGAGATCTCAAAACACACAGCACATATGCTCCGTACTAAAGTGTAAGAAGGCAGAAGTCAGATTCAAGAAGTCTTGCAGTAGAAAAACATCCATTTTAAACAACCAATCAGAATGAGAGCAGAAAGAGAGGAGAGAAGAAATAGATACATTCAGGAGACATGGTGGAAGGGAAACCCTTAGTCTATACTAAGCTAACTAAACTATTCCTCATTGAGGACTTGAGACTTGGGCAGTGTGGGGCTGAATTCCAACAGGGAGTACCTTGGAGGCAGTGCTGACGAAGCTTGTCTTGAAAAAACCAGGCGAAGGCGAGCGTACGGCTCCAATGGCAGGCAGGAAGTTGCCACCACGTGCCACTTGCTTATTCCACGGCTGGTAGGAGGGGATCATGGAACCAATGAGCTCAAAGCTGCTGTTGTGGCTGTTCTCCTTTGTCAAATTGGGCATCAAAAACGAATCTTCATCTTCTAAGGGGAGGGGAGCATTGAATAAACTGATTTTAGATTAAGCATAAGAAGGCAACGCATAATAAATAAGATTGCAGTGGCTTCCAAGACTGATATTTTAAAAGCTTGGGTGGTTTCAACATGTCGAGACTGTTCCCAGAAAATACCTAAACTGCACTCACTTAGCTCACAAAAAACTCTCTTCTGAGCACTCTAATGCCATACAAATTAATTATTATTATTATTATTATTATTATTATTATTATTCCTTTATTATATTTTTCTTTCTTAAAGAGACTCAAAGCATTACTTTCATATTAATTTCAAGCCCAAAAGAAGAGTTTCTAAGGCTCACAAGTAAGGATATTTAAGCAGTGAGACAAGAACCCGACAAAAGCCGTTTGACTTGTAGGGACTTTACAAATCAAAAAGTTCCGCTAGTGACTATACCATGTCTCTCAGGTTTTGGTAACACAACAAAGGAGTTGTGCAAAATATTTCTAGAGTTTTTTTAACAAAAAAGTGCAACTACTCAAAGCAGATGACAGCTGCAGAAGACAGCAAGTGTTTTACCCAGTTTCTCTGGTCGTTTGCCCACAGCTTCGTCCATCTCAGTCTTTTCACCCGGAAGAGAACATCTGTAAGAAGCAATTAAAAGCAAATATAAGATACCATATATACTCAAGTATAAGCCAACCCAAATATAAGCCAAGGCACTAATTTTACCACAAAAAACTGGGAAAACTTATTGATTTGAGTATAAGTCGAGGGTGGGAAATGCAGCAGCTACTAATACATTTCAAAATAAAAATAGATATTAATAAAATTACATTAATTGAGGCAACAGGATATCAAATGTTTTTCAATGTTTACATAAAACTGTAATTTAAGATAAGACTGTCCAACTCTGATTAAATCATTATTCTAACTTTCTTCAATGTAAATGTGCTTACGTATCCTTCCAATAATAATAGAGTAAAATAATAAATGTATTAAAAATAATAGAGTAAAATAATGGAAATGTAATAACAGCAATAATAGAGTAAAATAATACATGTAACTATAATAGAGTAAAATAAATGTAATAAAATAATAGAGTAAAATAATGGAAATGTAATAATACCAATAATAGAGTAAAATAATAAATGTAATCAAAGTAATACTAATAACAGTAAAATAATAAATAACTTTAATTTGAATATAAGCAGAGGGGAGCTTTTTCAGCCTAGAAAGGGGCTGAAAAACTAGGCTTATACTCGAGTATATACAGTAATCAAGTTGGTCTTCCATGTTAGAAATAGCAACCTTTCCAGACTTCACCGTGTGTTTGTTAATGAAGATATTTGCTAACCTGTATTGTATGTATGTATTGATTTGCCAGATTGACTGACCTCTTTGGTGTGTGTGTGTGTGGGGGGGGGGGCTCAGACATGTGATTGTACTGAGCACATTCAGACTCAAGACTTCATTTTGTTATCAGTATGTTTTTGGACTTCAATGTTAGCAGTTTGCTTTAGACCTCAGTGGAGGTGGATGCAGTATGCTTTTGAACTTCAATGGAGGCAGTTTGCATTTGGACTTATACAGGAACAGTTTACAATATGTTTGTTTTGAGAAGTAGTGAGTACAGTTTGGACTTTCATAAGATGTACACTTAAAGACTTTGGACTATGGACTATTAAGAATGGTGCCCTGTGTTCTCAACAGAAAGAAACTACAGCCTATTTATAACTGAACTTTGATAATAAATGTGCCTGTATGGTGAATTAATATAAGATGTTTATGAGTAAACATGATATGTTACCTTTTTAAAGAAAACTTTTTGTCTCTGAGCGCATATTTTTAAACTAAGAGGTTTCAAGGGAGAGTATATGTTTTGGGCAACTGCAATTTCAACTTCAAAGAAACATTTTCAAAACTCGACTAGCTAAGTATATGTTTTTTGTACAGTGGCATGTCTTTGTCCCTGGCAGTTCAAAGACATGGTTTATCAGATTAACAGCTGTGTTACCTATGTGCCATTACATGAATGCTTGTGAACATCGCTTTTTCAAAGGGTTGACTTTTAACAAGATCATGCCTTTTCTTGACTAGTTGTTTTCAAGAAATGGAGATTCACATTTGCCAAAAGGGTATGGCATCATTTTTCCTTTTCAAAAAGGTAATGAATGCCAATTTTCCAAAAACTCTATATCCACATTTCCTGTGAAAGTGGAAAACCACAAATAAAAATACCCACTATTTTTAGACAACACCTATTTCGGAACCTCTATGTCCTCCAGTGTGACTCTGTAACCAACTTCCTACAGGGTTGTTGTAGGTTTGTTCGGTCTATATGGCCATGTTCTAGAGCAGTGGTGCTCAACCTGGGGTCCCCAGATGTTTTTGGCCTACAACTCCCAGAAATCCTAACAGCTGATAAACTGGCTGAGATTTCTGGGAGTTGTAGGCCAAAAACATCTGGGGACCCCAGGTTGAGAACCACTGTTCTAGAGGCATTCTCTCCTGACGTTTCACCTGCATCTTCCTACAGATTTGCACTGGAGAACCTAGAAATTCCTAAGAAACTACATTAATCAAATCCATAAGTTAAACCCACAAATATGAAGGAGACCTGACTGCAACTGTTATACAAAGAAATTAATATGAATGAATGGAACTGAACTCAACTATTGTTAAGATGCTGTTGGTACTAAGGCAACAGGCATCTTCTGGAAATCTGTGTTTTAGGTGTACACCTAACAGATGTATGTGTGTGATCCAACCAACCCTGTTTTTGACGAGTTGTCCTTGAACAGCAACAATGTTGACTCGGTGGAAGGAGGCTTTGGAACAGCCCTGCATTGGACAGGTTTGACCACTGCTTCCCCGTCAATGGACTCTTTGTCTGTTTCTTTGTCCCCATCTTGTTCTTCCTCCTCCTCATTTTCCTCCTCGGCTTCACCAAGGAGATACTCAATACCCTGACAAAATAAAAAGCCCACACAATGCAAAATAAAAGGTGAGTCCTGCTTATGGACAAAACAAGATATGTGCTCAGTTGTCATTTCTAGTCATCTAGGCATTTGGTTGATCATTATTTTGTGCCACTTCCCAAAGGATACGTTCTTGAACATGCAATCCTAGACAGATCAATCCAAAATTACATCTCAGGGCTTATTTCAAGATAAAGGGACACAGGATTGCGGTTTGACAAGATGTTAAGCAGCAATAGTAATAATAATAATAACCAAAATCACTGGAAAAGCTTACACAATATGAGATTTAAAGATCGAACTGCAAAGACTCTGGCACAAGCCAGTCAAAGTGGTCCCAGTGGTGATTGGCACTCTGGGTGCAATGCCTATAGACCTTGGCCTACACTTAAAAACAATTGGCTGAAAAAAATCACCACTTGACAGTTGCAAAATGGCACCCTACTCAGATCTGCAAGCATTCTTTGCCGATACATCACGCAATCCTTTGCAGTTGGCCTTCTGCAGTTGACAGATAGTGATTTTGTCAATGTTTGTTTCCAAATGCCATCTGACATCTTTTGGCATGGCACCTAGTGCGCCAATGACCACTGGGACCACCTGTATTGGTTTATGCCAGAGCCTTTGCAGTTCAATTTTAAGGTCTTGATAGTGGCTGAGTTTTTCCTGTTGTTTTTCCTCAATGCGACTGTCACCTGGTATTATTATTATTATTATTATTATTTTCTGCCAAAAAGCATTGTTGCCTTCCCAAACTACAACTCCTATCATTCCATATCACTGAGCCATGGAAGTTCAAGTGAATAATTCTACAATGTAAACGCACCCTAATTTTGTAGCCTTCTTTATGTGGAACCTCAACAGCACGGCTGCTGCAAGGGATGGAGGGAAGTGAAGCATAAAGTTAGGGTTCAGGGATCAATAGCTGGATGCTTGGATTTAAAGATGGGCTCAAAGCCAACCTTAAAAACTCTGGCATAGACACTGAGAACTGGGAAGCCCTGGCCCTTGAGCGCTCCAGCTGGAGGTCAGCTGTGACCAGCAGTGCTGCAGAATTTGAAGAGGCACAAATGGAGGGCGAAAGAGAGAAATGTGCCAAGAGGAAGGCGCATCAAGCCAACCCCGACCAGGACCGCCTTCCACCTAGAAACCAATGTCCTCACTGTGGGAGAAGATGCAGATCAATAGGGCTCCACAATCACCTATGGACCCACCGCCTAAGTAAGTAAGCTTGGATTCTGCACTAACTCCCTTTTCCCTGGAAGGGAATGACTTCCTGATCAGCTGACCATGGCAAAGGGGAGTACACACACACATACACACATTTCTGTCTGCAAAACAGCCAGAAACATTGCCCAAGCAGTTGGATAAAGAAAAGGAAAATAAGCACTTTGTGGCTTTCTCTGGGCAGCTGGTGCCTTTAGGATATTAAAATATAATGATCTGTTGGACTTCAAAGTAGTTCCCCCGGCCCCCCATATTGGCAAAGGGCCAATATGAAACATGGCACAAATCCCCAAAGCTCTGTTCCGGGATAATTTGTGAGAAATCAGCAATCACAAAAACCTGCTGAAACAAGCAAATAGAAAAAAGGAAAGACCTCCTGGTTGCCTTCCTCTTCTTCCTCAGATTCATCTGTCATCTCCTCTTCCTCCTCCTCCTCTTCCTCCTCCATCATCTCCTCATTATCCAGTTTATACAATGCCTCACGCTTCTGGCGTCCCTCCATCCGGCGGAGCTTCATGGCCTCCTGCAGGTGAGCCTTCAGCAGACATAACTTCTCACCTGAGCAGCCAGGAAGGCATAAATATTACATGCACATTTCATATACACACATATATATGCATAAAGCTGTAATACTGATTGTACTGCTCAAGGCACACATTTTAATGAAGCTGCTCACAGTTAAGTTTAAAAATGGAGAGCAATATGTTTTTGAAACAGGGACAAAGGTTGCATGAAGTGCTGACGGAGAGTCATATCTTGGATGAAGGGAAAATAAGCTTATTAGAAGCAGATAAATGAAAATGAGCCAATGCTTAAGCTTGCCTAGTTCCTGTTAATACCTGTTTCCAAAACAGGTCCCTTCCCTGGAGTATAAATCGTTAAAAACAGGTGGAAATGCCCTCCTGTCATTCCGGATTCTAGAGCCCAAGAGAATAGCCACAAGCAGCCCCTATTTTGCTCATCCTCACCTTAGAAGATTAATTAAACTCCTATCTTATATTTAGCTCATTAGAAATAACTAGCAGTCCCCTGCCACGCATTGCTGTGGCCCAGTCTGGTGATCTGGAAAATAAAGTAATTAGAAAGTGCTGGTTTCTAATATATGTAATGTCTTTATGCTTGTGGGTAAACAGTATTTCTTGATGTTTCTTTGACAGTGTTAAGTTAGAGATTGTCTGGTTTGCCTACTCTGGAACATGCAACATGTAATTGTCCATCTTTAGGGGTCCCTTTCAAATCTATAATACTTTATCTGGTGTGTGTGAATCATATATATCAATCTATATCTATGGCTGGATGGCTCTTTGTCAGGAGGGCTTTGATTACGTTTTCTTGCCCTGGTGAAGGGAGTTGGACTGGATGGCCTTAAGTATTTTCTGTTGGTCATGGGGGTTCTGTGTGGGAAGTTTGCCCCAGTTCTGTCATTGTGGGGTTCATTCAGAATGGTCTTTGATTGTAGGTGAACTATAAATCCCAGTAACTACAACTCCCAAATGCCAAGGTCTATTTCCCCCAAACTCCATCTGTGTTCATATTTGGGCATATGGAATATTCGTGCCAAGTTTGGTCCAGATCCATCATTGTTTGAGTCCACAGTGCTCTCTGGATGTAGGTGAACTACAACTCCCAAACTCAAGACTAAACGCTGCTAGTATTTTCTGTTGGTCATGGGAGGCCTGTGTGGCAAGTTTGGTTCAATTCCATCGTTGGTGGAGTTCAGAATGTTCTTTGATTGTAGGTGAACTATAAATCCCAGCAACTACAACTCCCAAATGACAAAATCATTTTTGAGTGATGGTCACTCCTTATGTAGTGAGACGTTTTGTTGCCAAATTTGGTGTGATTCCATTCATTGGTTCTTTTGTTTTTAAGAAACACATTATGCACAGAGTATTTATATATATATAGATTACAACATAACAACCCAGACAACTACAGATAAATGATGCAGGTAGGTAGGTAAGTAGTTTTTGACTGTTTACAGGAAAAAGGAAGATGAATTAATGGTATCCTTGAAGTGACTGGCTTGACTCTGAAGGAACTGGGGGTGGCCACAGCCGAGAGGGAGCTCTGGCGTGGGTACAACTGGAGTTAATGTCAGGGGACAACCTTTACCTCTCTTACATGTAATATATAATATATAATTATTATTTTATTATTATTATTAGCTTTCTGAATCTGATGTCTGTTTTCTTACATCTTGGTATGTGCTGTGTGCTTTGAGATCTCTCTCTACTTGTGTGTCTGGAAAGATTGAGTGATTGGTGTTTTTTCCTCTCTTTGAAACCTTAGAAGAGATGGGTGTTAAGAGTAGCTCAGACCCAGTTCTTTGCTATGAAGAAATGTAGTTAGTTATTATTATACAGAAACCTTTTGTGATTTTTAAGATAGAACTCTGCATCTTTGCCTCCCTAAGCTCTTAATTCTTTACAGCCAGATCACATGGCACTTCATACTCTGTTAGCTACGAGTTATTGCTCAATTTTTTGGATCTTGTTTGTTTTTGGATGGATGCTCTGCCATATTTTAAGGTAGTTTTCCCCAACAGTTGTAGGGAAACTGCCTTGAGTCCCTATGGGGAGAAAAGCAGGACAGAAATACAGTTAAATAATAATAGTAATATCCCTTGTGCCTCTGCTCCCTTGAACACACCTGGCTTTGTGGGGATGGCATCTTCTCCAGACTCCGCAGCCAGGATCACAGGCACAACATCAGCTTTCAGCTCCTTTTTGCCTTCATTAGTCGTCTCTTTGCGGATAATGTTCAAGTTCACCGTCCGCTCCATCTTTGGTTTGGCTGCATGAAAAGTGTGCTTCACAAATCGTTCTTTCAGGGCTTCAAGTTCTGGTTTTCTCCCTTTATTTAAAAACAAAAAGAGGCAAAATGGGAGAGTGGGCCCTGAGCACCTGCTGGGGTTTGGTTCCATGAGAAAAAAAAAAACTGTGGATCCCCAAATCCCATTACAGTGACATAGTAAAATACAAATCGGAAAAAGGAAGGTTTCCTTTTGAGATTTGTGTGTGTGTGCATTTTCAGATTTTAGTTCTTTGAATCTAGGGATGCAGAATTTGTGGATACAGAGGACTGTATTAGATTATTTGTTTTAAATTTCTGCATCTTTCATTTTAAGTAAAGCTAATTCGATCAATAAGTTAGCAAAACCAGTTAAGGGAATGAGCAGGAACCTTTCCTGTTAATATTTTGACCATTATTTTGGTGACAATATTACCGAGCGCAATTCCAAGTGCTGGCCTTAGCTTAAACGGTTCTGGTCCAGCTTACCTATCCAAACTTTTCTCCCTCTCTGAGTCAGTTAAAGCATGAAGATCGACTGAGGAGGCCCTGCTTTCGGTCCCACTGCCTTTGCAGGCACAATTGGTGGGGACGAGAGACTTCTCGGTGGTGGCCCCTCGGCTGTGGAACTCCCTCCCTGGCGAGATCAGATCTGTCTCCTCCCTCCAGATGTTCAGGAAATTATTCAAAACATGGTTTTTTAAGCAAGCATTTGGAAAGTGAGATGAAGAGCCAAAATAACTTAGGGATTGGTGCAATGGCCAATGTTTTATGTTATGTTGTTTATGTTTGATCTTTTATAGTTCACTGATTTTAATCTTTTATTATATGCTATTTTATCTATGTGTTGTGTTTTATACTTTTTGAGGCACTGAATTTTGTCATTTACTTTGTTGTGAACCACTTTGAGTCCCTCTTGGGGTAGAGAAAAGCGGTATATAAATGAAATAAATATGACAACCTGTGCTTAGATTTCCTTGAATTCCTATTGGGGTAGTGAGGATTAAAATACTTCTAATATAGGGCATTGGGTTAAAGCGCTGAGCTGCTGAACTTGCTAACCGAAAGATCGACGGTTCGAATCCGGAGCGCAGGGTGAGCTCCTGCTGTTAGGCCCAGCTTCTGCCAACCTAGCAGTTTGAAAACATGCAATTGAGTAGATCAACAGGTACCGCTTCTGTGGGAAGGTAACAGCGCTCCGTGCAATCATACTGGGCACATGACCTTGGAGGTTTCTATGGATAACACCGGTTCGTGGCTTAGAAATGAAGATGAGCACCTCCCTCAGAGACGGATGCAACTACACTTAACGTTAGGGAAAACCTTTACATTTACCTTAATATGAATACAAAGAAGTAGCAGATTTTATAGTAAAACCACAACCACCACTGTCACAATCCTTTTTTAACAGAAGTTGTTTTAGTCAAGAGAATATAGCAGATTTGCCAGTGCACTGCTGACCCATTTGGCTATTAGGAATGATGAGATTTCAAGTCCAAAACACCTGGAGGGCCAAAGTTTGCCCATGCCTGGGCTAAATTCTGGTACCATACATACCTCTGTTCGATTTAGGTTCATCAAGATCAATAAAGGACACATCCTCAGAGCACAGCCTTGGCTTGACGGTGAGGTCCACTCCCAGCTCCCGAAGCCGATCCAGTTTAGACTTCTTTGTCTTTTCAGCAGGAGGTACCACTGCAGTCTTTGGTGGCTGAAGGCCTTCTTTGACCTCTATGCAAGATTCTTTTGGTGGCTCCTCTCTCTGTTGAAGGGCATTTTCTTCCCCTTCATTCCCCAGTGATTCAGGGCATTCAGTGGGGATCTGGTCATGCTTTTCTTGATTGTCGGATCTCCACTCCTCTCTGAGGCACTCGGTTTTAGAATCGCTGTCCTGTCCATTTTGCTCAAGGCATTCTCCTGCCGATTTTTCCACTTTCTCAGTGGAAGATCCACTTCTTTCTGGAAACGCAAGGTTAAGAGGAGGTGAATCTTCCGGATCAACTCTCTGCCCCTGTTGCTGCATTTCTGATTTGTCAAGTTGCTCTTTCCCATCAGAGTTCTTTGGAACCACACTTTCTTCATCAAGACTGGGCTGATATTTACTTGATCTATCAAGAAAAACAGACACTCTCATCAACTCCCTCCGCTGTGAATACTGTCACTTGAACATGTTAGAAAACGACACTAAAGAACTTATTATAATGTACTGTCGAAGGCTTTCATGAGAAAATACTGACCTCACAACTTCTAAGGATGCCTGCCAGAGATGCAGGCGAAATGTCAGGAGAGAATGCTTCTAGAACGTGGCCATACAGCCTGAAAAACCTACAACAGCCCAACTCATTATATACTTGAAAAAAGAGTAAGAAAATATCCAATTTCAAAGTATCCAGACACAGCAATGAGGAAATTAATGTTGGGTTTGGGACCGAAAAAGAAAGTTACACAGTATTTCCTCATCAACTTCTATTTACTATTAGTCCATTTGAAGACAGGCTTAACTTACTTCAGCAAAGTCATTGCACTTCCCTGGAAGGCAGGACGAGGTTTGCGTCTGAAGAATTCATGGACGCTTTTGGCTTCTGGAAGGTGATAGGGGAGCGACACAGCAGCTTCTATCAGAAGGGAAAACAGGGAAAATTTGGATACTTTGTGGAGTGCAAAAAAAGAAGGAACAGATCATCTTACTGATATGGCTACCTATGTTAAGAAGTAATCTATATCTATCTACTTATATCTCCACAGGCAGCCCCAAGTTACAAACAAAAGAGGTTTTGTAGGTTTGTTTTTCAGTTGAACTTGTATGTCAGTCAGAATAGGTACATTTTTAAAGTGTAACTCCAGCCAAATATATACATTTCTCACTTCTGGAGAGCACAGGGAAGGGTTAAGACCCCTGTGGTGTTTCCTTTGCTGTCTGTGCCCCTGCTCAGAAGATTTCACCACACTTTCTGTCCCAGTGAAAAACAGAATTTGAAATGTTTGGTTTGTTGTGAAAATAAGGATTGGAGATAAGCTTCAAAAAAGACCCCTTTTCCCCATGATAGTAACTCTTCCAGGAGTTAATTTCCCTTCTGAAGGGTAGATTTCTCTCACTTCTTGTTGTCTTACCTCCGTTCTTAACTATGAGTCATTTATAAGGTAGATGTTTGCCCTGAATGGGTTGGGACCCGCCTACCTGCGTGACCGCATTTCTGTGTATGAACCCACACGATCTCTTTGATCATCTGGAGAGGCCCTGCTCGTGCTCCCACCTTCTTCGCAGGTGCGACTAGTGGGAACAAAGGAGAGGGCCTTCTCGGTGGTGGCCCCCCGACTCTGGAACTCACTTCCCAAGGACATCAGACATACCCCAACTCTGGAAGTCTTTAGGAGGAGCCTGAAGATGTGGTTGTTCCGGTGTGCCTTCCCAGAATAAGGAAAACTCTCAGCAATATGCCCTCAAAATGCACTTTACCGCTGATTTAGGATTGACTGCGTTCCCTCATCTCTCTTTGAAAAACCCTATCCCAGTTATAGCCTACCTTGTTCATGGCCAGCATTATTTTTAAATTTTAAATTATTACATTTGGCCCGGCCATAGGTTTTTAAATGCTTGTGTATTACTGTTATTTTTTTATTTTTTGTGATTTATATTAATTGTTTTGTACTGATTGTTTTTGTTATTGCCTTTGTTTGCTGATGTACTGTAAGCTGCACCGAGTCCCTTGGGGAGATGGTAGCGGGGTATAAATAAAGTTTTATTATTATTATTATTATTATTATTATTATTATTACTTGGGGACTGTCTGTATTTTATTCTGTTCAAAGTGAAAATATGTTTGTGTGTAGGTATGGCACAATACCCATCAAGATCAACTTAAAATACAGGTAGGGTTTAGGGGAGAATTGACAACGGATGATAGGGCTGTAGTCCACTTACATCCGAACATCTAAGCAAATCCCATCAACAATGCCAGTTTTGAGTTTTGAAGACTAGATTGGGATAAACTGGAGGTCGCCTATCTCCCCCCCCTTCTTTTCTCCCCCCATTTTTCTTTTTTTCTCTCTGAGAAGGATGTATAAAAAGAGAGGGTGTAGATAAAAGCAATGTTACATGGAAATGAAGTGTGTATAAATATGAGCACCAATGGAAACAAAGTGTAAGCAGGATATTGTAAAGTTGAAACAATACAAAATATTGAAAAAAAAACCAATGGATCCGGACCAGACTTGGTATATACGCCCTTCGTGACCCACCTTAAAATACTGATGGACTTAGGGGGAATGGTAGAAGGTAATGCGTGTGTAGTCCATCCACATACAGAGCCATGTAATTCCCATCCATAACCGAGGGTACAGCTCTCCTCCAAACCAGTCAGATGGCTCAGCCTACCTCCCACAATGTATCTTCCAACATCCTTACCCCTTTGCTAGGCAGGATGGGGATGTTGGAGTTGCAGTCCAAAAAGACTGAGCTACCTGACCAATTAGGACAGCCCCAAGCTTGGGTCTGATGGGAGTTTAACTTGCCCAGACCCCAATGCAAGAGGGCAGTAGAGCCACTAGAGCAGTGGTTCTCAACCTGGGGTCCCCAGATGTTTTTGGCCTATTTATTTATTTATTTACAGTTTTTATATTCCGCCCTTCTCACCCCGCAGGGGACTTAGGGCGAATTACAGTATACACATATATGGCAAACATTCAATGCCGGTTTGACAGACAACGAATACAGACAATACACAGAGGCTATTTAACTTTTTTCTGGCCGCCAGGGGAGCTGCTGCTTTCATCGTCCATCAGCGACACCGATGAAGTACTTCCGCATTCCACAACCCGGAGTTTTCTTTATGGCCTCATAAATTAGTTAATTTAGCCTCCCACACAAGGTGGTACCTTAATTTTCCTACTTGACAGATGCAACTGTCTTTCGGGTTGCAAAGGTCGACAACAGGCTACACAATGGCTGGACACCCACTCCAGCCCAGGCTGGCTTCAAACTCATGACCTTTTGGTCAGAGTGATCTTAATGCAGCTGACACTCAGCCAGCTGCGCCACAATCCCGGTGCCTACAACTCCCAGAAATCCCAGCCAGTTTACCAGCTGTTAGGATTTCTGGGAGTTGTAGGCCAAAAACATCTGGGGACCCTAGGTGGAGAACCACTACACTAGAGGATTGCCATGGAGAGCTCTTTCCCCAGCATGTGGTAAATCCTTGAGGGACAGAGTCATTCCAGTAAATAAGTTTGCTTGGTTAATCAAGTCAGGTGACTAAGGAACACCCTTTAAAAAAACAATGGAACAAGTCACTCCAAAAGCAAACACAGTAAAATTATGGAACACATGGAAGACATCTGAGCAATATGATGGACAACTTAGACATGTGCAGTAAAGAGCCAGATGTTGCAAGAGGCCATTGGAGGGTGATGGGAAAGAGCCAGCTTTACCCCAAGAGGCCCTTAGAGTGTTGCCATGGAGACCTAGGTCAGTAAGATGTGCTCACTGCCTGAGGGACAGAGAAAGTCCTGCTCTTTGGTTCAGTCTGGCAGGAGAACCATCCCCACAATTATAAAGCAATTATTTTTATGAATAAATACCAGTACAAATGCAAATCTGAGTAACGGCAGGTACCGAATCTAGTCATTAAAAATCCTCAAGAATCTTAAAATGAACACATTATGTCACTTTATATATGTCAGACTACTGATCTGAACTGCAGTTATCCTCAAAATCTCAAATAATGTTCTTTCTCTTATTCAAGTAGAAATTCTGGGGATTGAGTACCTCAAGAACTTCTGGATTCACGTGAAGATTCTTTGTCACCAACTTCTGGTTCTTTTCCAAATTAAATGTAAGTCTTACCTCTAAGAAGTCTCTGGCTCTCACTGTGCAACTTCTTCATTGCTTCTTTGCTTAATTTGGCTGATTTCCGCTCCTAAAATAAATAACAAAGGATGAACACACTCACAAATGTAAAGCAGCTTTTAAAAATAGGAAGGCAGCTTGATATTTAAAGATACCATATATATACTCGAGTATAAGCTGACCCGAATATAAGCCGAGGCACCTAATTTTACCACAAAAAACTGGGAAATTGTATTGACTGGAGTATAAGCTGAGGGTGGGAAATGCAGCAGCTACTGGTGAATTTCAAAATAAAAATAGATACCAATAAAATTATATAAAAAATGTTTTTGAATATTTACATAAAAATGCAATTTAAGATAAGACTTTCCAACTCTGATTAAACCATTATTCTAACCTTCTTCAGTGTAAATGTGTTTACATATCCTTCCAATAATAATAAAGAGTTAAATAACAAATGTAATTATAATAAAGTAAAATAATAAATGTAATAAATAATAATAATACAGTAATGCAGATTTAATAATAATAATAAATAAAGTAAAATAATAAATAATAAATATATTAATTCAGTAAAATAATAAATAACTGACTTGAGTATAAGCCAAGGAGGGCTTTTTCAGCTTAAAGAAAGGACTGAAAAACTTGGCTTATACTCGAGTATACAGGGTAATTTTAAAAAAGGCATACTGAAGATGAAAGACAATTACACTCTTTAACTACCATGTAAATCACAACAAGGCATCCCCTCCAAATTCAAAAATCAGAATGAAATAGAGAAAAATTACCTTTCTAGGCTCCTTTAGCAGTGGTTCCACATTGTCATCTATCGCATGCTGGTAATCTTCAGTTTCAGAAAATAGCTATTTGGACCAACATGGAGGGAGGGGATTCAGTAAATTCTCATCTCTCATAAAACAGCGAACATTGCTTACAGATTTACTGTGCACAAGGTTCGTTTCCTTGATTCCAAAGATCTTTTAAGATTTCTGTAGTACTGATGACCCATCATAACTGGATGTGGCTGAGTACATTGGTCTACCACGCATTGAAAGTGCTCTCCATCTTTGCAAGAGCCCAAATGCACATAGACCCTCCACTGAATAGACTGACCTCCCTGCATCAAATAGGCTCCATCTCAATGCTCATCCCACCTCCCCTCAAATATGTAAGTTACTAACTGGCAGTTTAAGAAAACAAAAGGAGACGAACATTTGGCACATACATTTTTGGGAGATTCGGCAGACCTTACCTTCTGTTTCCTCATTTTCTCCTTTGCTGCTGCTTTGATGGACTCAAGCGACTCTTCGTCTTCAGAACGAGGATCCCCACCGTTTTCCTCCTCTTCCTCCAAGCCATTCTCAAAGAGGTCTTTGTCAGTCAGAAGGCATCCGCTGTCATTGAACGAAAGCTCCTCGCCATCTTCCTGGCCCTAGAGAAACATAACTCAAGGCTTTGTGAACTGTTTTCCCCATTCAATCTATCAGCGGTGGGGTTTTCCTCAATCAAGTCAGAGATATTTTATCACCCAATCCCATGTACAATTGAAGACTAAGGCGATATATGGCCACTGCAGTGAGAATCATCTCTTTTCAAAGATGGAACGAACCAATTCCCACGACACAAGACTGCCTCATAAAGATGTGTGAATTAGCAGAAATGAATAGGACCTCCCGCAATAAGTGAAAAATCGTGATGTAGGATGCTCTATTTATTTTAATATGTATACATTATTTTAGTAGTTATACACTATTTTAAGTCTTTATAAACTTAAAATAAAGTGAAGGAAAGGATGGAAGGGAAGGAAGGAAAGAAAGGCCCTTAAAGGCTGGAGAGTGGGAGGACTGAGGAGAGAAGTGCTTTGGAGAGCGGCAGCAGCAGCAGCAAAACCCCACAAAACAGTGAAAATACCATGATATATATTTTAAATTAATATTTTTTGAAATCCGCAAAACAGCGAGTCTGCAATAAGCAAACCGCAAAGGAACACTGTATTCATGGTTACAGTGTTCCCATATTGGCAGTGGTTACTGCCCACATTGGCAGTCTTTAGGAGTCATCTGAAAACGAGGCTGTTCCAGTGTGGCTTCCCTGAATAAGGAAATAATCTCCAGCAAAACGTCCTCAGAAGCACTTTAACTACTAATTGGGTTGCTCTCCCTTTATTTCTTTTAAAACCCTCCTACCAGATACATCCTACCTCTGTTCATGCCCAGCACTTATTTTTTAAATTTTAAACTATTACATTTGGTCCGGCCATAGGGCTTTTTTTTAAATCCTTGTGTGTTACTGTTTATATGCGAGTTATATTAATTGTATTGTTTTTTTTCTTATTGTGTTTTTTGTTTTATTGATGTGTTGTTGGGCTTGGCCTCATGTAAGCCACTCCAAGTCCCCTTGGGAAAACGGTGGGGGGTATAAATAAAGTATTATTATTATTATTATTATTATTATTATTATTATTATTATATTCTTTTAACGGGCAAACGATTTTAACTGTTTACTTTTCAAAACCATCAATATTTCTGGGTTGTTGTAGGTATTTTCAGGCTGTATGGCCAAGATCTAGAGGCATTCTCTCCTGACGTTTTGCCTGCATCTATGGCAAGCATCCTCAGAGGTAATGAGGTCTGTTGGAACTAGGAAAAAAGGTTTATATATCTGTGGAATGACCAGGGTGAGACAAAGGACTCTTGTCTGCTGGAGCTAGGTGTGAATGTTTCAACTGACCACCTTGATTAGAACTTGATGGCTTGGCAGTGCCTGGGGGAATCTTTTGTTGAGAGGTGATTAGATGTGCCTGATTGTTTACTCTCTGTTGTTTTGCTATTGTAATTTTAGAGTTTTTAAAAATAGTGGTAGCCAGATTTTGTTCATTTTCATGCTTTCCTCCTTTCTGTTGAAATTGTCCACATGCTTGTGTATTTCAATGGCTTCTCTGTGTAGTCTGACATGGTGGTTGTGAGAGTGGTCCAGCATTTCTGTGTTCTCAGATAAAATGTTGTGTCCAGGTGCTCTGCTATGGCTGATTTCTCTGGTTGAAGTAGTCTGCAGTGCCTTTCATGTTCCTTGATTCCTTGATGAAAAAACCTACAACAACCCAGTGATTCCGGCCATGAAAGCCTTCGACAATACATCAATATTTCATTCTTTTTTTATGTTTGTATATGTTTAGGTTTTAAATTGCATTAAATTGGGTTTTACTGTAAGCCACTTTAAGTCTCTTTTGAAAGTGGGGTATAAATAAACATGCTAAGGAGGCTTTTCAGGTCCTGAACCAGTGTTTGGCAGCTGTGACGGTCTGGATGAGGGCAAACAAATTGAAATTGAATCCAGACAAGACAGAGGCCCTCCTGGTCAGTCGAAAGGCAGAACAGGGTATAGGATTACAGTCTGTGCTCGACAGGGTTACACTCCCCCTGAGGGTTCATCGTTGAACTTGGAACTCCAGGTCTTGGTGGTAGCTAGGGGAATGTGTATTGTATGTAATGTATGGCATGGAACTGTGCCTCTATGTGCGTTGCTCTGAGTCCCCTTCAGGGTTGAGAAGAGCAAGATATAAATATGGCAAATAAACAAACAAACAAAATAATGTGGAAAACTGATAGAATAAAAGCCCTTGCACTAGGTACTTTATATCTGTAGTCAATATTTAGTGGTTGTAGTAGTGGTGTGGTTTTTATATTAGTAAAATGTCTTTCTACTGTTTTTGTCTTTGTATTTTGGTTTGTATTATTGCTTTTTATATCTAGTTGTAGATTTTGTGTTAGTTTTTCTGAATAAAAATATCTATTAAAAATTGATGAACTATTTCTCTACACTGGCGCATATTTTATCCATGAGTTACCTTTGCCTGACTCTAGGGGTGGTACTCATCTCCATTTCTAAGCCAAAGAGCTGGCCTTGTCCATAGACACCTCCAAGGTAATGTGGCCGGCATGACTGCATGGAGCGTCATTATCTTCCCGCCAGAGCAGTACCTATTGATCTACCCCCATTTGCAAGTTTTCGAACTGCTAGGTCAGCAGAAGCTGGGGCGAACAGCAGGAGCTCATACCGGTTTGCAAATTCAAACCTGCAACATTTCGGTCAACAAGTTCAGCAGCTCAGCGGTTTAACCCACTCCTCCACGGGGGCTCTCCATGAGTTGGGCTACCGCAATGCTAAAATGGTGCACACAGAGGGATTCAAGTAAATACCTGAAAATATATTTCTTTAAACATCTCCTCCTCCTTTCCAACATACCTTTCGTTCTTGTGTTTTTTCCTTCTTCAAGACCTGTCTAATGACCTTCATTTTCTTCTCTTTCTTCATCCTCCTTCTCCTTGGACTTCCTTTCTCCTTTCCTTCAGTTTGTTTCGCATCATGCGTTTTGTGGCGCTTGTGCTTCTTCCGATCCTTCTCGGAGCTTTCCAACAGCAACTTCGGTGATAAGTTTTCTACATCACTGTCATGGATGTCCTTCACATTTTCAACATCTATAGCCTCTGATTTTTCCGGCATGAGGTCTTCTCTTTCACTGTCACTCTCTGGGAGCACCTTCTTACCTTTCACTCTCTTGACCACAAAAATCTCTTCATCTGAATCTGCTAAAATATAAAGAGTATACATCCTTATGCTTATAGCCCTTTTCTCATAACATAAATTATATGACATTCATTACTCTCTTTTTTGTTACTGGGGACTATAAAAGTAGTTATATAAGAGGACCAGTGCTAAATTCAGTATCACTTCATTGAACTACTGGATAATTTAACTCTCTTAGGGTTGATCTACATTGTAGAATAAATGCAGCTTGAACCCATTTTAACTACCATCCCTCAATGCTGTGGGATCATGGGAGCTGTAGTTTTACAATAATATTAACATAATAATATTTTATTTATATTCCGCTTTATCTCCCCAAGGGGACTCAAGAGTGAATTACAACATAAACAGATGGGCAAAACATTCTATGCCTTTAATACAGTGGAATGACAATGACATACAAATACACAGAACAAAAGCCAGAGATGAAAGGCTTCCCCTTTCATCTCCGACTTTTCGGCGGTAGTGCTCAATTCTGGCCACAGAGAGGCGCTCTTGTTCCATTTCCAAGCCAAGGAGCCTGCTGTCGGTAGACACCTAATGGTTGTGTTACCAGCATGGCTGCATGGATGCCTTTATTACCTTCCAGCCAAAGCGGTACCTATTGATCTACTCACATTTACATGTTTCCAAACTGTTAGGTTGGTAGGAGCTAGGACTAACAGTGGGACCTCACCCCAACCTGCAGCTTTGAATCACCAATCTTTAAGTCAGCAGATCATCATCATCATCACTTTATTTCTTAATTAGTCGCTCTCCACCAAGGTGCTCCGAGCGACTTACAATTTAAAACAGTTTATACACAATATAAAACATTCAATATAAAAACATTCAACATAAAACATTCAACATAAAAACATTCAGCAGTGACTATGGCAAAATTTGATCTGGTTACTTAAATGCACAACCAAACAGCCAAGTCTTGAGTGCCTTTGCAAAAGGTCGCAACTCCGACATTGCTCTAATATATGGAGGCAATGAGTTCCACAGAATTGGAGCATGATCGAAAAAGCTCTACGCCTTGTAGCTTCCAAATGTGCCTCCCTAGGACCCGGTATGTAGAGGAGATTTTCCTGGGTGGATCGAGGTGACCACTGATGGGGAAAAGGAATGAGGCGGTCCCTAAGATATAAAGGTCCTTGGCCATTTTGAGCTCTAAATGTCAGGATCAGTATCTTGTAAGAGATCCGATGTTCTATTGGTAGCCAATGCAGTTGTTGCAGAATCGGTGTAATATGGGATCTTATAGATGATCCCGCTAGCAGCCTGGCGCCGCATTTTGGACCATCCGAATCTTCTGGGTCGTTGACTTCAGAAGGCCAGCATATAAGGCATTGCAATAGTCCAACCTCGTGGTGACTGTTGCGTAGATTACTGTTGCCAATGCTTCTACTGAAAGGTAGAAGCATTCAACAGTTCAGTTGTTTAACCCATTGTGCCACCACGGCCTCTACAAGGTTTTTAGCCACTCAACTAGTGTAACAACAAACTATAGATCCCAGGATTCCATAGCATTGAACTATGGCAATTAACATGGTGACAAGCTGCATTAATTCTACAGTATAGATGCATCTTTAGGCACAATGCTGTTTTATTGCGTATGATCCACAAGAACATAAACATTATAGCCAGAGCCTAGAAATGTTACTTTGTTAGAACCCTAGCCAAAATGAGAGATTCTTAGCCTTATTGTCAAAAAGATTACTAAAGCTATGCCCACAACAGTGTAGCACTATATTATTTATGTATTTGTTTATTTATTTACCTCTTTTCCTCCCCTAAAGGAATTTGAAGCGGTTTCCAACTTTATAAAGGCAAAACTCAATGTCATACATACATGTGAAAACCAAAAGATAATAGCAAGACAATAACATATAACTATAAATTAACCTAAACAAATAAGCATAAAATAACATTTAGACATAAAGTATCAAAAATTAAACATCGCTGATATAACATTTATATTAAAGCCCACCAATAAACAACACAATTTAAAAACAGTTATTAAAATTATGCCATCCAAAATTGAGTCCATAGTCGTTCCATTGGTCCGTTCACTATTCTTTATTATCTTATTGCTATAGCTATATATTTTGTAAGGAACAAACAGATTAAATAAGACTGTACATATGCTGGCATACACAAGCTAGAAGGAGTCTACTTCCTGCTGTGAGATTCTCAAACAAAAGGTATAAGATCTTTCAATTGAAGCTCCATGTTTTCTATATGCTTGTCAGGATTCCCCATAGAGCTTTGAGTCCCCCTCGGGGTGAGAAAAGCAGTATAGAAATACTGTAAATAATAAATGAATTTCCCACCCAAATACAGACCTCTATCTTCAGGAGGTGCCCTTCCCTTCTGGATGTGTGCCGGGGAGCTCATTTCGCAGCTGCCCTGTCCGCTGTCTGAATCATTGCCAAAGGCGTCTTGCAATTTCGGATCCTGGGCATCTGAACAACACTATAATCAAAACAACATTTGTAAGCTCGAGAAGAGAGATCAAGACATGGCAATTCATTTTTTTTAAAATAAAGGCAGTCCCCATGTTACAAACATCCGACTTACAAACAACTCCTAGTTAAGACTGGGGCTGGGACAACAGGAAGTGAGAGAAATCTACTCTTTGGAAGGGAAATTTACTCCTGGAAGTGTTATTATCATGGGGAAAAGGGGTCTCCACTGAAACTTTATCCCCTTGTTTCTACAACAAGCCACATTTTCCAAAATCCAATGATCACAAGGACAAAAGGTGATGGGAGAGCTTCTGAACAGGGGCACAGACACCTCAACAAACACCACAGGGTTGCTAACCTTTTCCTATGTGATTCAAAGCTAATATATATCTATATGTGGCTGGAGTTACACTTAAACAATGTACCTGTTCTGACTTACAAACAAATTCAACTTAAGAACAACTCTACAGAACCTATCTTGGAGGTTGCCTGCCTGTACCAAAAACTATAAGGTCAGATCTTCCCAAAAAATCCCTTTATTACTATCATGTGCATCATTCAAAGTCAGGTTTTGCAAATGGGATCAAATCGGAGGGAGAGTGGATACTCAGAAGGGAGGATCAGGCTCCAAACTGACCTGGGCCAAGATTGACAAAATGGGATTTCAACAGGGAAAATTGTACAGTACTAGACTTTGGCAATAAAGATGAAATGCACAGGTACAGGATGGGTGACCCCTCACTTGATAACAGCCCATGTGAAACGGACTTAGGAGCCTTAATAGACTGCAAACTGAACATGAGTCAAAAGTGGGATGGAGCAGCTTAAAAAGCCCATCTGGTTCTAGGCTGCATCAATAGAAGCATAGTGTTGAGATGGAGGGAAGTTCTAGTCCCACTTAATTTTGCTTTTGTTAGACTTCTTCACCTAGAATAACCCTGTTTCCAGTTCTGGGCAAAGCAATCCAACAAGGCTGTTGACAAATTGGAATATGTTCATAGAAGGTCAATGAATATAATCAGAGATCTGGAAGCCAATCCCTTCTGTCCTTCAATTAATGGCCTGTAAACCATTAATTCCCATGAGAACCAGCTCAGGGAGCAGGGTGTATTTAGCTTGGAGAAACGAAGGCCGAGACAGATATGTGATGTACTTCTCTGAAGGTTATTTCTGACTGAGCAATGTTTTGTAAACAGCCTAAATAATGCTAATGTTAGAAAGGTCAAAAAGGACTGAACAATGTTTTTACACGGTCTAAAAACAATGGAATTTCAGGATCTTAGCAAAACTGTTGTATGGATATCCTTAGTAGCCTGAGGTTCAGGGAACTTTTGATAGTATATGTTATAGTTTATTAATTGTTAATTTGTTTATATGGGTTATGAAATGTGCAATCTGTTTGTTTAGTTATGATGCTTTTTTTGTTGAAGTTTATGTTTGCTATTTCTGTTGCTTTTAACACTATGCCGCTTTGAATCCCACCACTGGGAGAAAACAGGATAAAAATATTAAGAAGTAGAAGAAGAAGGTGGCCTTCTGCAGCTGGCAGGTGGTAATTTTGTCAGCGTCAATTGTGTTTAAGTGCAGGCCAAGGTCTTTAGGCACTGCACCCAGTGTGCCGATCACCACTGGGACCACCTTGACTGGTTTGTGCCAGAGTCTTTGAAGTTCGATTTTTAAATCCTCGTATTGTGTCAGCTTTTCCAGTTGTTTCTCTGCAATCCTGCTGTCACCTGGGATTGAGACATCGACAATCCATACTTTGTTTTTTAACACGATTATGAGGTCAGGAGTATTATGCTCCAGAACTCTGTCTGTCTGAATCCAGAAGTCCCAGAGGAGTTTGGCGTGTTCATTCTCTGTAACTTTTTCCGGCTTGTGATCCCACCAGTTCTTTGTCGCAGGCAGATGGTATTTGTGGCACAAGTTCCAGTGAATTATCTGAGCAACGGTGTTGTGCCTCTGCTTGTAGTCTGTCTGCGCGATCTTCTTGCAGCAGCTCAGGATGTGATCTATTGTTTCATCTGCTTCCTTGCAGACTCTACATTCGGGATCTGTTGTCGACTTTTCAATTCCGGCTTTGATGGCATTGGTTCGAATGGCTTGTTCTTGGGCTGCCAGAATCAGGCCCTCCATCTCCTTTTTCAGAGTTCCATTTGTGCGCCACAGCCATGTTTTTTCTTTGTCAATTTGGCAATTTTTGCCAGAAGCTGTCCATGGAGGGCCTTCTTTTGCCAGTTTTCTCTTCTGCTTTGGATTGTGTTTTTACGGTATTCCCTCTTTGTCTTTTGCACATTATTATTATTATTATTATTATTATTATTATTATTATTATTATTGTCATGGGTGTAAATGAGCAATTGAGTACAACTGAAGAAAAACAGATTCCACCTAAACATTAGGAAAAATGTCCTGATCATAAGAGCGGTTTAACAGTAGAATATGCTGCCTTGGAGGCCACTGAATACAAATAAAGTTATTATTATGTCTCTCTTTTTAAGCAGAGGCTGGATGATCATCTGTCTGGGGGACTTTGATGGTACCTTCCTGAATGGCAGAATGGGGTCCAACTGGATGGCCCTTGGGGTCACTTCCAAGTCTAGGATGCAACAATTCAATTCCAAGGAAATATATATATATATATATATAGAGAGAGAGAGAGAGAGAGAGAGATTACGACTATTCGTGAGCTCAAGGACCACTCCACGCCAGAACTCCCTGTCGGCCGTGGCCACCCCCAGCTCCTTCAAACTCAAGCCAGTCACTTCAAGGATACCATCCATCTTGCCCTTAGTCTGCCCCTCTTCCTTTTTCCTTCTATTTTCCCCAGCATCATTCTCTTCTCTAAGCTTTCTTGTTTTCTCATTATGTGACCAAAGTACTTCATCTTTGCCTCTAATATCCTTCCCTCCAGTGAGAAGGAAGGCCTTTCTTTCCTGGAGTATGGACTGGTTTGATCTTCCTGCGGTCCAAGGCACTCTCAGAATTTTCCTCCATCATCACAGTTCGAAAATGTCTCTCTTCCTTTGCTCAGCCTTCCTTATGGTCCAGCTCTTGCATCCATAGGTTACTATGGGGAATAAATTTCTTTAAATATGCGGATCTTTGTTGCCAGTGACTCTACTCTTCATTATTTTATCGAGATTGAGAATTGCTGTCCTCCCAAGAAGTTAACGCCTTCTAATTTCCTGACTACAGTCTGCATCTGCAGTCATCTTCGCATCTAGAAATACAAAGTCTATCATTGCCTCCACATTTTCTTCCTCTATTTGCCAGTTATCAATCAGTCTTGTTGCCATAATCTTGGTTTTTAACTGCTACCCAGCTTTTGCACTTTCTTCTTTCACCTTGGTAAGAAAGCTCCTCCGCATCTTCTCACTTTCAGGCATCAAAGTGGTATCATCTGCATATCTAAGGTTGTTAATGCTTCTTCCAGCAACTTTAACTCCAGCCATGGATTCGTCAAGCTCCGCACGGCGCATGTGTTCTGCATACAAGTTGAATAGGTTGGGTGAGAGTATACAACCCTGCCGTACGCCTTTCCCAATCTTGAACCAGTCTGTTGTTCTGTGGTCAGTTCTTACTGTTGCTACTTGGTCCTTACACAGATTCCTCAGGAGAGAGACAAGGTGACTTCGGATCCCCATACTACCAAGAACTAGCCACAATTTATTATGATCCACAGAGTCAAAGGCAGTGGTACTCAACCTTCCTAATGCCGCGACCCCTTAGTACAGGTCCTCACGTTGTGGTGACCCCCAACCATAATGTTATTTTCGCTACTTCTTTAATTCTTCTACTGTTATGAATCGTAATGTAAATATCTGATATGCAGGATGTATTTTCATTCACTGGACGAAATTTGGCACAAATACCCGATACGCCCAAATTTGAATACTTTGGAGGGGATTGATTCTGTCATTTGGGAATGTTGGAGTTGCTGGGATTTATAGTTCACCTAAAATCAGAGAGCCTTTTAAACTCCACCAATAATGGAATTGAATCAAACTTGGCACACAGAATTCCCATGGCCAAGAGAAATACTGGGAGAGTCTGGTGGACACGGACCTTGAGTTTTTGGAGTTGTAGTTCACCTACCTCCAGAGAACATTAAAAGGCCTTTAAAGCCCTAAACGGTTCCGGCCCAAGATACCTATCTGACCGCATCTCGGCCTACGAGCCCACCAGGACTTTGAGATCGTCCGGAGAGGCCCTGCTCTCGATCCCGCCTGCCTCACAGGCATGCCTGGCGGGGACGAGAGACAGGGCCTTCTCGGTGGTGGCTCCTCGGCTGTGGAACACCCTTCCCGTGGACATCAGACTGGCTCCTTCCCTGATGGTATTCCGCAGGAAATTAAAGACTTGGCTGTTCAAGAAGGCATTCGAACAAGAAGTGCAATAATTGGTAATGATGACAGGAATGGAACAACGGAAAATGATACTGGATTGTGGTTTAAACGATGAGACGACGTGAATGGCTTTTTGTACTATTGATATTGTTGATGTTTTTGATGATGATGTCTTTGGTTATTGCCAGATTGATTTTTAGATTGTGTCTTGACTTTTGAATCTTGTTCTTCTATGTTGTACACCGCTGTGAGTCACCCCCGGGCTGAGAACAGCGGTATAAAAGCAAAGTAAATAAATAAATAAACACTGTGGACTCAAACAGTGATGGATCTGGATCAAACTTGGCACAGATAATCAATATGCCCAAATGTGAACACTGGTAGAGTTTGGAGAAAATAGACCTTGCCATTTGGGAGTTGTAGTTGTTGGGATTCATAGTTCACCCACAATGAAATAGCATTCTGAACCCCACCAATGATAGAATTGGACCAAACTTCCCACGCAGAACACCCCTGACAAAGAGTCTGTTTTCTGATGGTCTTTGGTGACCCCTCTGATACCCCCTCACGACCCCCACAGAGGTCCCAACCCCCAGGTTGAGAAACACTGGTCAATGGCCTTAGAATAGTCAATAAAAGAGAAATAGATGTTTTTCTAAAACTCCCTGCCTTTCTCCATTATCCAGCGGATATTGGCAATTTGGTGTGTTGTTCCTCTACCTTTTCTAAACACAGCTTGGACATCTGGCACCTCTCTCTTCATGTGTTGCTGGAGTCTTCCTTGCAGGATCTTGAGCATTACCTTCCTGGCATGAGAAATAAGGGCCACTGTATGGAAGTTTGAGCATTCTTTAGCATTTCCCTTTATATATAAATATACATTGTGGCAAGTTCTTGGTGGGATGGGCATCCCAAGCCACCTTGTCTCTCTCCTGAGGAATCTGTACAAGGACCAAGTAGCAACAGTAAGAACTGACCAGGGAACAACAGACTGGTTCAAGATTGGGAAAGGCGTACGGCAAGGCTGCAATACTCTCACCCAACCTTTTTAACTTGTATGCAGAACACATCATGTGATGTACGGGGCTTGATGAATGCAAAGCTGGGGTGAAAATTGCTGGAAGAAACATTAACAACCTCAGATATGCAGATGACACCACTCTGATGGCCGAAAGCGAGGAGGAGCTGAGGAGCCTTCTAATCAAGGTGAAAGAAGAAAGCGCAAAAGCCGGGTTGCAGCTGAACATAAAAAAAACCAAGATTATGGCAACAAGAATGATTGACAACTGGGAAATAGAGGGAGAAAATGTGGAGGCCGTGACAGACTTTGTATTTCTAGGCGCAAAGCTTACTGCAGATGCAGACTGTAGCCAGGAAATCAGAAGACGCTTACTTCTTGGGAGGAGAGCAATGTCCAGTCTCGATAAAATAGTAAAGGGTAGAGACATCAGACTGACAACAAAGATCCGCTAGTCAAAGCCATGGTATTCCCTGTAGTAACCTACGGATGTGAGAGCTGGACCTTAGGGAAGGCTGAGCGAAGGAAGATAGATTCTTTTGAACTGTGGTGTTGGAGGAAAGTTCTGAGAGTGCCTTGGACTGCGAGAAGATCCAACCAGTCCATCCTCCAGGAAATAAAGCCCGACTGCTCACTGGAGGGAGGATACTAGAGACAAAGTTGAAGTACTTTGGCCACATCATGAGGAGACAGGAAAGCCTAGAGAAGACAATAATGCTGGGGAAAGTGGAAGGAAAAAGGAAGAGGGGCCGACCAAGGGCAAGGTGGATGGATGGCATCCTTGAAGTGACTGGACTGACCTTGAAGGAGCTGGGGGTGGTGACGGCCGACAGGGAGCTCTGGCGTGGGCTGGTCCATGAGGTCACGAAGAGTCGGAGACGACTGAACGAATGAACAACAACATATACATATATAGAGAGAAATGCATATGTATACAGATTAATAAATGGGGCAAAAGGTGGGGAGAAAACCACAAAGGCCTGGCCTTCAATTATTCTTGTTTAGGATACTTATTCATTTATCCAGCTTTTCCCCAGTGGACAGTATGATGCCACTTGAACTCAATGCTATGGGCTTGGGAGTTGCAGTTTGAAGAGGTCTTCTTTGCCAAACTACAATTTCTTGGATTCTGTATAGCAGTCCACTATAGAAATCCCTTCCAACGGGGTCGAACTCACCTCCATGGCCTCCTCTTCCTCCACAGCAGCCGCCATAATGCCGCTTCGCCAACAAACTCCCGAATGAAGAGCTCTGACCCAATTCGAGACTTCGCGCCTTCGCTCGGAGTGTGACACCGCCCTGACCAATCAGGGCTCACCTTCCCTCTGCCGCTCATCACCCATTGGCCCCATTCTGACACGAACGTTCGATGCACCAATGGGGGACGAAAGTTTCGGCGGAGGCACCGCCTCCCAGCCCTGAGCCTCGCCCTCTCCAGAATTCGTAGAGATATATTAGGGGGAATTCAGAGAGTGACTTCGAAGCCCTCAGAGGCCGGAACTTCCGCGTTTGCTTTTCTTTTTACCTAGAAACTGTAGAATCAATGCAGTTGGAGGCGACTTGCTAGGAAATCCTGGGAGTTGTAGTTATAATAATAATATTTGTTAAAAAACAAAGTATGGATTGGACAGCAAGATAAACATGAGCCAACAATGTGATGTGGCGGAAAAAAAACCCCAATGGGATTTTGGCCTGCATCAATAGGAGCATAGTGTCTAGAGCAGTGTTTCTCAACCTGGGGGTCGGGACCCCTGGGGGGGTCGCAAGGCGTTATCAGAGGGGTCGCCAAAGACCATCAGAAGACACAGTATTTTCTATTGGTCATGGAGGTTATGTGTATGAAGTTTAGCCCAATTCTCTCATTGTTGGAGTTCAGAAAGCACTTTTGTTCTGTCGCCACTGGGTCCGAACAAAATGTCTTTATTCTACAGGACGCACACTTTAAACCCAGTGGGAAGCCGGGGTGCCCGAAGAGAGATTGTTAGAGACTTCCAGAAGTAATGGGCTTTAGAGTCTTTAAAAGTACAACAAAGTCTTTATTAAGGAACAAATCTTCAAACAACACTTCAAGGCTTTACTATTCAAGTCTTTAAGAGACTGGCACTAACTTGGTTTGACTGTACTATCTCAGCATAAGGAAGAACTCTTTATAATCCCTCCCAGGCCGTCCATCACCTAGGCCTCGCTGGTCTGGGTAATACTGCCGATCCCCAAATGCGTCTGGAAACCGAGTAACCTACCAGACGAAGCTAGAAGATGTTTAGCTGGAATTCTGTGGTTCTGCAGTGATGTCCTGTGGAAACTTCAGGGCTGTTTTCCCCTCTGGTGCTGTGAGGCTGAGAGGCTGTGAGCTCTCAGCCAGAGCGTTTGGGACCTTTTCCTTCTGTTTCCCTGGAACTGGATGGTCACTGGATGACCCCTGGATGGTCGCTGGATGGACCCAGGATCACCTTTGGATGATCCCCGGATGGCTATTTCTATTTCCCCGGAAGGTTTTGAGGAATGAAGCCTTTCCTACGGGACTAGCTGATCTGCGTCCTATAGACTGGCTTCCTTGTGTGACTGACTGAAAAATGGCCCCTTCCCTCCAAAAACTCAAGAAGGGGCGGGACCTGGGAACCTAACTATAATTGGCAGGTGGCTTACCCTATGATTGCAGCCTATAACAGGAAGCCACCCTGCCGCAAAATCCCAACCCTGGGATTGCAAACAAACATTAAACACAGCAAATAAATCTGGAGCTCCTGGAACAGCTGTTCCAGAACAACTTTGATTGTAGCTGAACTATAAATCCCAGCAACTACACCTCCCAAATGTCAAGGTCTGTTATCTCTAACCTCCTCCAGTATTCACATTTGGGCATGTTGAGTATTCGTGCCAAGTTTGGTACAGATCCATCATCGTTTAAGTCCACAGTGCTCTCTGGATATAGGTGAACTACAACTCCAAAACTCAAGGTCAATGCCTACCAAACCTTTCCATTATTTACTGTTGGTCATAGGAGTTCTGTGTGCCAATACTGGTTCAATTCAGTCATTGGTGGAGTTCAGAATGCTCTTTGGTTGTATGTGAACTATAAATCTCAGCAACTACAACTCCCAAATGACAAAATCAATCTCCCCTTCAACCCCACTAGAATTCAAATTTTGCCATATCAGGCATTTGTGCCGAATTTGGTCCAGTGAATGAAAATACAATCCTGCATATCTGATACTTACATGACAATTCATAACAGCAGCAAAATTACAGTTGTGAAGTAGCAACAAAAATAATGTTATGGTTGGGGGTCACCACAACATGAGAGAACTGTATTAAGGGGTCGCGGCATTAAGGAGGTTGAGAACTACTGGTCTAGATCTAGGGAAGTAATGCTACCCCTCTATTCTGCTTTGGTTAGACCACACCTGGAATATTGTGTCCAATTCTGGGCACCACAATTCAAGAGAGATATTGACAAGCTGGAATGTGTCCAGAGGAGGGTGACTAAAATGATCAAGGGACTGGAGAACAAGCCCTATGAAGAGCAGCTTAAGGAGCTGGGCATGTTTAGCCTGAAGAAGAGAAGGCTGAGAGGAGATATGATAGCCATGTATAAATATGTGAGAGGAAGCCACAGGGAGGAGGGAGCAAGCTTGATTTCTGCTTCCCTCGAGACTAGGACGCGGAACAATGGCTTCAAACTACAAGAAAGGAGATTCCATCTGAACATGAGAAAGAACTTCCTGACTGTGAGAGCCGTTCAGCAGTGGAAGTCTCTGCCCCGTAATGTGGTGGAGGCTCCTTCTTTGGAGGCTTTTAAACAGAGGCTGGATGGCCATCTGTCAGGAGTGATTTGAATGCAATATTCCTGCTTCTTGACGGGGTTGGACTGGATGGCCCATGAGGTCTCTTCCAACTCTTTGATTCTATGATGTTGCAATTCCAGGTGACAGAAGGATTGAAGAGAAACAACTGCCTTACACCATATGAGGATTTAAAGTTGGAACTGCAAAGACTCTGACACAAGCCAGTCCCAGTGGTGATCGGCACACTGGGTGCAGTGCCTAAAGACCTTAGCCTGCACTTAAACATAATCGGTGCTGACAAAATTACCATCTGTCAGCTGCAAAAGGCCACCTTACTGAGATCTGCTCGCATTATCCGCCGATACATCACACAGTCCTAGACACTTGGGAAGTGTCCGACGTGTGATCCAATACAATAGCCAGTAGAATGTCTGCTGTGGACTAATCTTGTTGTGTTTCAAATAATAATAATAATAATAATAATAATAATAATAATAATAATAATAATCCACAACCCTGAAGAAGGAGACAGAAGGCCTGATTCTTGCAGCCCAGGAGCAAGCCATCAGAACCAATGCCATTAAGGCCAGGATTGAAAAATCAGCTGGTGACCCAAAATGCAGACTGTGCAAGGAAGCTGATGAAACCATGGACCATATCCTCAGCTGTTGCAAGAAAATCGCACAGACAGACTACAAACAGAGGCACAACTCTGTGGCCCAGATGATTCACTGGAACTTATGTCACAAGTACCACCTGCCAGCAGTAAAGAATTGGTGGGATCATAAACCTGCAAAGGTCATGGAAAATGAACATGCAAAAATACTGTGGGACTTTCGAATCCAGACTGACAAAGTTTTGGAACACAATACACCAGACATCACGATTGTGGAAAAGAAAAAAGTCTGGATTATTGATGTCGCCATACCAGGTGACAGTCGCATTGAGGAAAAACAACAGGAAAAACTCAGCTGCTATCAAGACCTCAAAATCGAACTGCAAAGGCTCTGGCATAAACCAGTACAGGTGGTCCCAGTGGTCATTGGCGCACTGGGTGCCATGCCAAAAGATCTCAGCCGGCATTTGGAAACAATAAACATCGACAAAATCACGATCTGTCAACTGCAAAAGGCCACCTTACTTGGATCTGCGCGCATCATTCGAAAATACATCACACAGTCCTAGACGCTTGGGAAGTGTTCGACTTATGATTTTCTGATACGAAATCCAGCATACATATCTCGTTTGCTGTGTCATACCGTGTTTTTGTGTCCATAATAATATTATAATACTGGACGGGGTTACACTCCCCCTGAAGACACGGGTTTGCAGCTTGGGAGTTCTCCTGGATATATCGCTTAGCCTGTAGTGGCCAGGGGAGCTTTTGCACAATTCAAACGTATGCACCAGTTGCACCTATACCTTGGGAAGTCAGACTTGGCCACTTGGCCACCACGCTCTGGTTACATCCCGAATAGACTACTGCAACGCGTTCTATGTGCAGTTGCCATTGAAGACTGCTCAGAAGCTTCAAGTGGTCCAATGGGTGGCAGCTAGATTGCTCACCAAAGCAGGGTACAGGGAGCACACAACCCCCCTGTTACACCAGCTCCACTGGCTGCTATCTACTACTCAGCACAATTCAAAGGGATGGTTTTAGCCTATAAAGCCCTAAACGGTTTCAGCCCAGCTTAGCTGTCCAAACATATCTCTCTTTATGAACCATCTTGGAGATTAAGATCATCTGGGGAGGCCCTTCGCTGGTGCAATTGCTGGAGATTAGAGACAGGGCCTTCTCGACTATGGAACTCCCTCCCCGGTGAGATCACATCAGCCCTTTCTCTCCTGACCTTCAGCAAAACTTAAGACATGGCTTTGGGACCAAGCTTTTGACAAATAATTGGAGCAGTGTAATATGTGACTACGAATCAATGTGATTAACAAATGGAACGACTCTGGTTTATGTCTTGCATGGCATGTTTTTAATTGATGTTTTAATAATTCATGTTTTAATTATTTGGTTTTAATTGTAATTGTTTATTTGATATATGTGTGTATGGCATAAAATTGCTGCCTGTTGTAAGGCCGCCTTGCGTCCTCTCCAGAGTGAAAAAGGCGGGATATAAATATGGTAAATAAATAAATAATGTTCTAACGGAACAGTACCATATATATAATATGTAATATATATATAATAATAAAAATAAATTTACCCTCATGTTGCGAATCAACCCTTATAAGAGATTCGGACACAAAGGTAAGTTATAATAACTAAATGTATCTCATGAACACCTTTCATTTACATTTTAAATATATATGTTTTATAAAACATACATTTCAAAGAGTTTGGTCATTATTTTTCTTGTCACTTTCTTGCAACAGACCTACACAATTGCAGACGACACACGCATGCTGTCATGACACAAGAGTTTGGAAAGCTCTGCTGTAAAAGAAGGATGAAATCGCACATGCACATGAGACAGAAAGGCGAACTGGACATGCACCCAACTTT